ATAAAAGTAGTAATATGCGTAATAATATTGATAATAATAGGAATAATAAGGATAATGTTAATAAAAGGAGTAATATGCGTAATAATATTGATAATAATAGGAATAATAAGGATAATGTTAATAAAAGGAGTAATATGCGTAATAATATTGATAAGAATAGAAGTAGTAAGGATAATTGCAGTTCCAGCGATGATAGTAGTCGTAATATGCGTAATAATATTGTTAATAATAAGAATAATACGGATAATGATGATAAAAGTAGTAATATGCGTAGTAATATAAGTAGTAATATAAGTAGTTATATTTATGACTGTATAAAACTATACAACTATATGTATATATATCGTGAGTTATATAATATAATATAATGGGAATAATATTCTGGAATATGGGAGGTTATATTTAAAATAACACAAAAGCACAATAACTTTAAAAAGACTAAATGAATTTACTGTTTAAGAAAAACGACTTGGAAGGACCTCTTTGAATAACTATATTTTATACGTGTGAAAATTATAATATCAGAGAAACAATAAGAATGAAATACAAGGATTTTATTTTGTTAACATGCGTATATCTGATAAAAATCGGGCGGTATATTTTCCTTTGCTCTTGCAACAAATATTGGTATTCATATAACAAATCGGCTGCAAACGTAAAAAATAATAATAATTATAAATAAATTTAATATTACTTTTATTATATATAATCTGTTGTATTATTTAACCCTTTTATTCTCTTTCCTGCAATTTTCTTCAGATTTATTTTTTTTTCCTCACTAGGGCCTAATGATACCTTATATTTCATCAAAGTGTATACGCTACTGAGGACTTCTACGGATAGCTTACTGCGCATGCGCTAAGACTGGCCATCACTGTCACTGTTATTTACTTTCGGCGGTCTTCTTAAAATATATGTTTATAGCGTTTTGAATTTATTCATAAACGGAGATGTATAAATATTGTTATCTCAAGATATACAAATATTATTAAAGAGGATGAAAAATAATAGGGTTATTTTATGTAGTAATGATACAAATGATGAAAAACAACTAAAATGTCGAAGTCTTTGTATTTCTTTTATCTGTATTCGATGCATGTTAATGTATAATTACTTTCCATATGGATTTCCCGATCAAACTTTTACAAGTTTATATTTCAAGGGCACTTACGTATATAGATACAATCAGAAATTAGAGTAAATGATATGTTTGCTGACAGAGTTTTTATGTGCTATCAATTACAAAGGCTGTGTGTTCTGTACGTGTATAAACAGAAGGTAAATACTACCTTCTTACTTTCAATACGTTTTAAGACAAGCAGAAAGTACTGTGTACATTTCCCATAATCTTTTGATCGTTTTACATGTTTTGTTGAATTACAAGCAATCTATGTTGATTATACAACTTGGAAGTTCAATGTAATTTTTTATTTTGGTATTGCAATCTTGCAATTAGCACTCTTAAGTTGATACGCATAAGAAGTGTATACAAGAGTGTCTAATATATGTACAATCAGACAGGATTCAAGTATATATTTTAACCATAGCCGATGTTCTCTTGTAAAAATTAACGTCATCCATTTTGCTTTTCATTAACACCATTCTCTTGAGGTTTCAGTGGTTTAATCACATCAATTGCATTTGGCTGTTCCATATCTAATTGATGTTTCTTCTTCTTCTTGGAAGTTTTTCTGGAAAAATAGATGAATACAGTGAACATACAAACTGTTTTAAAGCCATTAAAAAATGTTGCTTGTCCACATACTTTCCAAATAATTCACCATCCTGTATAGACTCAGGAAGTTTCTTGTTCAATGTTTCTGGTAGTAGCAATGACAACATTCCACCAAGGAGTACACATGTTCCAAAAATAACGAAAGGCAGAGGCATCCAAATTTCAGACTGTAAAATAGCATGTTTGATATTAAAAATATCATGGCTAATATTATATTGCAAGAAATATTTATTTACCAGATGTATAACACATGGAGCAATGACACCACCAATTCGAGCGAAAGTAGAACTAGCTCCAAGACCGACATTTCGAATAACCGTGGGAAATTGTTCGGCAGTAAAAACATAAATAGCACCATAAGACGATGTGATCGTAAGTTTGCCAATCATTGCTAGACATACTACTACCCATGGAGCATCTGAAAGTGTTAATTAACAGAGCAATTATATCTCATGTCATTAACCAAAGTTTGAATGATTGAATTGTACGTTTTGTTCTACCAACCAGCAGGTACAAATAAAATGCCCAGCAATGCTACTCCAGATACTAACATACAGCCACACAAAATGATTTTTCTACCCCAACGATTTAGAGTAAAAATTAAAAACGTATATGCTGGTACTTCCACCAGTCCAGAAATAAGGAAATTAATGTAATCATTTCCACCAAGGTTGGCTACGTGCCAAGATAATCCATAATATGTACCACTATTTACAAGCCTGCAACAGGTAAATTGTGATATTATACTTGTGTATTGGGCTCATTGAATCCAATAAAGAAAGAAACACAGAGGTAGAGAATATGGTTTCTTAAAATGCTATACTTTAAATTCCAGAAAGTTCATATAGCTTTATGGACTTTTCGATTTTTTAACTCATTTACAGCCCCCTGATTCATACATAATATTGGCTAGAGTATTTTCATCCATGTATGGGTCATAGGAAATAATTCAATCTCAGTATACTTTTTGTGTCCAAAATCGTTTTCAAACACCACGTGAATTTTCTGGAAATATAAAAAAATGAAGAAACGTTCAAAATGAAAGTTACCAATTGAAAAATAGTAGAATACTTTTCCGCCTCAAATTTGGATAACGGAAAAGGTCAAATAACGATGGTTTCCTATAGTCTGGTGTGCTATCTTCGCTGTTATTGTTAAGAAGCGTTTCCAAAACTTCACTCGGCATTTCCACGCCATTTTCTAGGGAAGCACGCTGCAGAAGATCTTTGGCTTCTTGCGTACGACCTTTCGTTAATAACCAGCGAGCAGATTCAGGAATGAACCTGGAGAAGATGAGAGATTCTTGTAAAATACAGTTCAACTTAAAAGTATTCGATAATGTAATTAAGTCTCACCACCAGTAAAGGAGGAATACTATGCTTGGTATAGTGATTGCCACTTGTAGCATTCTCCAATCTCTTATAAAATACGCGAAACCAGCAGTAAGGATGTAGCCAGTCGTGAAAAACAATTGGCAACCGACCCCAGCTACCAAACGTTTCTTTGGACCTACCATTTCCAGGGCTGTAAAATAACGTTCTCATTAACAGCAGTATTGCATAGAGAGAATGATATTCTGTTGATCAGATTTCTGGACCTGGATTCGAACCCGGTTCTAACCATTAACTCTAACCATTAAGCTATCCAGGCAGTGGACGTATATGCTCTCCCTAATGTTTTAAGGCTCAAATAGCTGCCTCTTACAGTATCGAGTAATATCTGCAAGGTACTGTTTATTTATCTTATTCGATTGATGGATTTCATTGAGACTTACCAATAACATAAGCCACCAGAAATACTCCACTGGTAGTCGAGCCGACTATCAATCTGAAGATAACGTAGGAAATAAACTCGGGTGAAACTGCGACTAGTATACCACCGACCAGCTGTATGACTAAAGACAGGAAGAAAATTGGTCTACGTCCAAACTTATCGGACAAACCACCGAATATCATCGAGCCAAGCATGACTCCTACCATGAACAAAGAGTCCCCCGTAGCTCTCAGCCATGCCTTGTCACAAATTAAGTTCCACTGAAAAGAAAGAAAGATTAATATTAACTCCACAAATTTAATACAGTGATAGGTACAGTGGAGTCTTGATATATGGCCTTGGATAGAGTTGATCTGGAAATAATTGTATTCCATGTCCATATAGCAAGACTGCAATTGCATGAACAATTTGGATTTTGCAGAAGAAACATTTGTACCATATAACAGGTAAAAATTTGTATCAGGACCTAACGTTAAAGGATAGTAGGATGTGTCAGAAAGGCCAGATTCAATACCTCAGAAGTAGTGGTACTTTGATATTTGCTTCTGTCGTAGACGTATCCTTCGCATGGCTTGACCCGTTGAGCATTAGGACCATCCGGGGATTTCTGGACGAAGGTACCGTTGGCCGATGCATCGACGTACCTCATCATCGTTTCGTTAACGATACTAGGAACGTCGTATCTGAAACACTGGGACGGTCCTCGTTGCTCATCGTCCCAGGGATAGCTAGCGTTCATTATATGATCAGGTAAACAATATGTTGCGTTTTCTATGTCCTCGTGTGGCAGCACGCATCTGAAATGGACATTTGTATCATTGATATGAAATTAATTTATAGGCTAAGACTATTACTAAGAAAAAAACAATTATGATGCTGACCTAGCGTTCACTTTGGCGCTCAAAAAGACACCTCCGATCTTATGAAATGCGCAGGATATCGCAGGAAGACAGAGCATGAGGTAGATCCTGCGTTGGTAGCGGCCGAACTCGCCCATTCGCAGTATAACATCGTCGTATGCCATTTTTCCTTGATTCCTCTTATTCTTCTTCGTTTACGTCTTCGAATCCCCGTGGTCCTTCTGCTCGGGGATACGCTCCTGAAGCAATTTCTTTCTGTCGTCGAATCCGTCTCGATGGAAATAATGATTTCTTGCCACGAATAGGTCCTCAGACCTATACTGTGCGTCGAAGAATCAAATTACTGACTCACAAACTTGAAAAATATCTTTCCTCTCCAACTGTTTTCCTACTCGTATTTATCCTTGAAGAACTTTACAGTCACTACTTTGAATCTCTAAATTGTGCAAAGTTATTTCTACCTGGAGCTCGAGTAAAACTTCTCTCAGGATTTTATGTCATTTTAGATAAAACGGAGATAGTGCTGAACATCTTGTGTGATCTGGGACACAGTTTCTCGTACTGCATCGTTAAGAGAGCAAGTTGAATTAACTAACAATAATATTATAAAGAAAATATCTTCCTGATGACGTGTTACGATTGCAGTTTCTTCCTGGTGTTTTGAGATGAGGTTCTTCTTAGCATATACAAATTGACATGGTTGGTTTGGATTTTATTGCAGCTTCTTTTTCCTGTTTCAGTCTGAAATTCATAAAAATAATATTATATTAGATCCAAGGTTTAAGTAGCTTTAAAATAGAAATACTTTTGGTGTGTATTCGTTTGATATACTGTTAATTGTAATATGCGACGTGTTACGTTGTTATCAAAGATGGGAGATTGTTTAGTTATCTCGAATGTAACACGGGAAGTCCTTAAATTAGGCGATTAGGCAATTAGAGCAAGTTATCAAAATAGAAGCAGAGTCTTATAAGACAAAATTAAATGATTCAAGGTTTTCTATATTCGTCTTTTAACATTTGTGTACATTTGTGCAATTGTGCACATTCTTTATAAAAGATTGCCACTGTTTGGATAGCATTAGCATTAAAAACAATTAAGCGCACCTACTATTTGGCATTTCATATTTGATCAAATATTTATTTCGAAAGCATATTTTCCTTCACCAGATTTTTACTTCGATCATATATTTTACTCGATCAAAGTTTCATTTTAATAGCATGTTTTTCTTGGCGACGTTTTCATTTTATCAATACTCTGTACTCGACTAAATTTTAATCCTGATTGTACTTCGCACCAATACTATTTTTACAGCACCTTGTACTGTCAAATTGCTAATACATTTTCGTGATACTTCGGAAGTGTACGTACGAACGTGTTAATAGAGCCTAACACTATACTTCGTCCAAAATTAATTAGCCATTCAAGGCCGGCTACACAGTGGTCCTCACCGAACAGCTTTTCCTTCTTATTACCTTCGTCAAAGGCCGTGACCGGACAAAAGGGAAAAAAGGGCCCTAGAATCAAATTCGGCTTGTGACATTCAATACTTTGTCGAGAAAGAACAATTTGTGCCAAGTTTCAACTTTGCGTTTCAACTAGGGGAATAGTAATAGGAAATCATTATTGCGCAATTTTTCCCAGTTTAATTGCGTACAAAATTTTGTAAAAAAGAACAAAGAAATTTTAATTAATAAAATTATATTGAAAGAATTGTGGATATCTAAATTAGATCACCACTCGTTATATTGCCATGTATCGTGGTTCGTTAAATATCACGTGTTATGTTGCCGCGCGTTATATTGCCATGATAGTACTACCTCGCGTTATATCGCCGCGTGCTATATTACGTGCGTAATACTACTATACATCGTATGGTTAAGTGTTAAATTACCACACGTCGTATTTCCTCGCGTTATATCGCCATGTGTGGAATTGCTACGCGTTATATCGCCATGCGTGGAATTGCTACGCGTTATATCGCCGAGTGCTATATTACGTGCGTAATACTACTATATATCGTACAGCCAAGTGTTAAATTACCACACGTCGTATTTCCTCGCGTTATATTGCCATGTGTGAAATTACCACGCGTTATATCGCCGCACATTATATTACGCGCGTAATACTACTATACATCGTACAGCCAAGTGTTAAATTACCACACGTCATCTTTCCTCGCGTTATATCGCCATATATAGAATTGCTACGCGTTATATCGCCGCGCACCGTACTATCGACTTCGAAATATGACGCGTTGTATTAGTACGTATTATATCGCCATATTACTATGTACCATACTATTGTGTATAGTATTATCACTCGTTATATCGCCATTCGTATTACCATAAGTTCTAGAAACTCTCATTATTTCACTATAATTTTAAGAAATAAGATTCCTCGATTTTCGAATTTCTAAATTTGCCAAATTTTTAAATTTAAAAGTTTATAGTTACTTTTATGAGTTTAATACGATTGAATGCCAGTCATGCAAATATGAATCGTACAAGTGCGAAGAAGTACAAGTGGTAATTCGAATTTATTGAATCTATTGAAGAGACGCTTCGGTAATTGAAAAGAAGTTGAGTCAAAGGTTCATCAAGCTTTGAAATGCTTCAACGTTGTCGAATTTCAATTGATGAATAATAAACCTATGATCTTGAGAAGATGAAGGCGATTAAATTAGCTGGATAATTTAGGGAACGTTATGAGTTATTCTGGACGATACCAAAGATCTCCTCGTTCAACGAAGATAAAGCTTGTAACGTCACAGGAGGCAACAAGCATTGCGACACACATTATCCAACCATTACTAATGCAAATGAATTTTACACGCACGGTTGCTTTTACCGGCTTCAATTTAATCACGGAAACAACTTTTTCGAATGATCACGACCAAACGCGTACCTGTATGTAAAGTTTACAGTGAAACGCTTCGTGTGTATGAATTTGTTTACATGGAATAATATGTAAAGCGATTGTATCGCATAAAGATATGAGTCAGCCAACACGTTTCAAGGAAAACTACATATGCTATATTGTCTCTAATTAGTATAATGACGGATAAGAGAAATGTCTACTTTTGCCAGAAATATTTTTATGTGTACAATATCAGTTGAAAGTAATATTAAATACACGTTACCGAAGTTAAGTACAAAATAATAATTTTACGATAAGCAATTGACCTGCTGATTGTTTACGAGGCGCCAGACATTTAACTAAAAAAACTAATCTTTCAGCACAATTGAATAATTATTCCTGAACAGTATACGAGCACCTTGTCCTTGAATGACCGAACATAACGAACAGTCAGCCAAGAATTACGATAAGGAGCGAAGGTGTTTGAAAACGATTTAAAAAACGATAAGTCCCTCGTTCAGCAAAATTGAAAACAATATTAAATAAGTCCTTGACTGGCATTAACTGCACACTTCAATGTATGTAAATGTACATAATTTTAATGAAACGTATGCAAACGAGGAAGCATTTCTTCGAATACTTAAGGCGAGCCGCGGGTGCAATATTTTTTAAATTCGCGCGATAAATCACGAACGAAACGAACTCAATTGGCTCGAAATTGCAGCTTTGCGCATTGGCTGATAGATCGTAGACGTTAGCACGTAAACGAGAACAAATTAGATTTATTGTGAAATGCATAAGCAATTTACACGAACAAGCGGTCGGGTCGTGGCCGATCTGTATGGAAACCTTATGCAATTTCATTTAAATCACCTGAAGAAAGTGCACGCGAAATAGCGTGCCGCGTTGAAGAACTGTGAGATAACCGTTCCCACCTTTCATTCAATGAAACGTGTGAATCGAACGTATAAGTACTGACTACCGTGATTCTCATTCCAGATTTAACTCATTAGTACTCAAACTTCTATACACCTAACTGCTCCTAATTTAGCACAATCGTTGCAAACCCGAACGGTAATAACTTTGCAAAATAATGGAGTGTGCTTTCCCAAAATAAGGAAATTTATGTCTACACTTCAGCATAGAATGCTGACTTTGTTGATCCAAATGTTATAATTTATATTTTACAAGTTATAAATTACCATATTTAGAAATTTCTAATTGCCTAATTTTCAAATTTTTAATTTTATGTGTATGAGTAAGCGGTATTGAGTAAGCAACAAACGTTAATTATTTAATTGCGTTTGAACTACAAAATGTATACTAATTTCAAATTTACATATTTTTTATCTGTAGAAAATTAACGAGTTATATGAAAATTTAATGCGCTTTGTATTTACATAACGCAATCACACTTTTATATACTACACATTAATATTATTATTAGCAATTACTGAAACTTCATTTTACAACTTTCAATTTTTTCTAAATACATCTTAAGCATAAATTACACTAAAATTAAAAAAAACTGTAGGACTTTACAACTATAAAATTTAATGCGCTTTGTATTTACATAATGTAATCAGACCTTTATCTACTGTACATTAATATTATTATTAGCAATTACTGAAACTTCATTTTACTACTGTCAATTTTTTCTAAATACTTCCTAAGCATAAATTACTATAAAATTAAAAAAAACTGTAGGACTTTACAACTATAAAACTCTAGAACTGCAGTCCTCAAACTTTGGACCCCTAGTATTTTATAATTCTAGAACTATAGAATAAGACTCTGAAACTGTAGAACTCCAAAACCCTGTAGTGCTCTAGAACTTTAAAACTATAAAATCTTAAATTTTGTAAATTTTAGACCTCTAAAATTCTAAAACCTAAAGCTCTAAAATGATAGAACCTCTAAAACTGTAAAATTACAAAACCTACAAACTCTAAAAGTCTAAAACTCTAAAATTCTAAAAATCAAAAACTCTAGACCATCTTAGAAATTCTAATACTCTGCTTTTGAATACTTTGTATTCACTATCTCTTGACAAGTCAGAACACTACACTATGAAATAAGAATGCAGCCCCTTAAAGAGAAACGTACACTATTCAAACACTGAATGCAGAGAATTATTCAATGTCACATGCTATTTGATTACAATGAATATGCAGCGTCTACTTTAGAAAATAGTTTCTACTGTTTTTATAGAATTTATTGACGAGTTGCATACTTGAAAAATATGAATTGCAGAAGAGTGAATTCCCAGAGAATGTTTCCTCGCGTGACGAATTCACTGAGCTCACGGTCTCACACTTGTCAAAAGAGCATCGACGTTGAATGGAGGAACGCAAAACGATCCCACACGCACGAAGGACGGACGATGACTGCCGGCACTTTGGCTAGCAATACACGGGAACAGAAGTATATGACCCTTCCTCGGAGATAGCAGTGGCGCCGCAGCCACCACCATCGGTTCTGCGAGTCTACCCTCCCCCTACTTCTTCTGGTTATCCCTGATGGTCAACGTTGCTGACGATCCAGGCCCCCATCAGCATTCTCCTACCCCCAATTGCAACCACGGTCATCTGTCCCAAATGGGTGTCTGAATACCAGCGACTCGTCGTGGCTGAAAATTCTACATTTCAACTTTTAATCTCGTCTTTGCCTCTCTTATATTTTTGCCTCTCTTTAACTCGTTTCAAGCCAAATGATGGTGGTTTCGGTTCTACCTTCCATTCTGGTGCTTTGTAATCATTTAACATCTTTAAAAACCCTAATTTTTAATCCTGAACCTTCTTCCATTCTTTGCTTCTTTTCTTTCTAATGGGATTCTACTTTTAGTATCAAGTATGTAGTATTTATGGTGGCCAAACCTCTTGAGAATTCTACGTTTTATTTTGATGTCCTTTGTGGTTATTTAAGATCACCAGAAATTCTACCTCTGATCTTGTGGTTTCTCTGATTCTTTACTTCTCCTGTTTCTAATGTTGACGATGAGTCCAATTCTACTTTTAATACTGAGGACCTATGTAATGTAGTAGTCTGCACTTTGTGTGATTTTACCTTCCATTCTGAATGCTTTATTTATAACTTTTACAAATTGTACTCTTGATCTTGTGTTTCTTCTCAGGTTTTTTGCTTTTAATGTTAATGATGGATGAAATTCATTTCTGATTGAATACATAATGTCTATCATGATTTAAGTTTTTGAGAATTATGATCTGATTGTTACCTTCATGACTAACAATATTGAATGTTTCACTACACATGATATACACTGGTCATGTTTTCTGTCAATGAAATCAATATTTATAGACTAGTAGTTTCAAATTTCTGATATTTGAAAACTCCACTGATTCTCAGTTCTTTCTTAGAATTACTTCTTTTTATCATCAATTAAACATTCCAGTTGTTATTCCTGTTTTTGCTTCCTCATGTTTATCCTTATTGTTTACTAAAAATTTTAACTTTCAGTTGTGGTTCTTTATGACTTTTTTATTCTTTTAACTGATTTTTATTAATAAATAAAGATATTACCTTTCATTTTCAGTTTACTACATATCTTCTACATTCAAGAATTTCATACTCCTAAAATTATAGTTTTTATTAAATTCTTCTTTGTCTTCTCTCAATCTATCCATCATCATTAAGGTTTAAGTAAAAGATCATTAATCTTTAGTTCCTCTCTGTAGATCATCCTGATTGCTTTTGATTAATCATCTGCAAACCTATTTCCCAATATAGATTCATTTTAATTATTTCATTAAGTATTTCATTATGGTATATATATCAGACAATTTTTAAATAAAAAACCTGTTTAATTTTCACTGTTTAATTGTCAAATGTCTATCAATTAAATTTCATTTTAAAATATATTAAAGTTCTCTTTTTAAATGTTGGTGTTGCCCAACCTGAACTTCAAGGTTGAAAGTCAGTCATTTTTCTAAATCCAACCATATAAACTCATGTCTCATTTATCATACACACACAAACCATAAGCAAATAGTAATTTTATTTATACATACGAAGACTCAGATTATCTTTAAGCAAATATTTTATACGCTAACATCTAAAACAAACGATTAGATTGTCCTTCTGTTGGAAGCATTACTGCCAAGTGTCTTATGTAGAACTAATTAGTACAACAAATACCGTTAACACCATGCAAACATCTTTTGGCTCAAAAGCAGTCAGTATACTTATCAGTGTTTTTAGCCTGACTTAAGATGATCATCATTCAAAATCCATAATCGTGGAATAGAAAAACTCAATTTTGAAACAATCTTTACACTGTTCACCACTGTCAACTATTTGTATGATAGGAAACTTCTCTTTCCGCCTATATTCTTCACGTTATCAAACCATGTTGCAAGACATATTATATTAATATTAGGTTCACTTTAATATTAATATCATATATGATGTGATATTATATATCATATTCACATTATTTAGACAACGAGTTTGTACGAAAAATGCAGCTTAGAATTTATTCAGGATCTTCCAAGAAACTCCCTAGACTTTCCCTAAGATTCCTCAAAGTTTTCCTTATAAATATTGACACTCGGTAGCAAATCTCCTTCCACAATGTCGCAATTTTTTCTAAGCAAGGCTATCATGCATCAACGTGTACATTGATATAACGTGACGTATGAGAGTGTAACGGTTAAACAAACGGTGGCAAACAGAAGTAGTACAACTGAAAAGGTGTGAGAAAAAAGAACGGTGTTGCACGGATGACTACCATCGCCGTTCTAAACGAGCAAATAAAACCAGTGCAACGAGCCGTCGCGATTATGCGCATTGAATTATGCCGGTTCTCGGATGTAAACGGATCGCGTAGAGGCACGCTGATAATACAACGAGTCAGCGAATTGATTGCACCGCGTATAACGCGGTTGAAACGATGACAAGGTAAAAAGTGGTCGTTTGCATTCGCGGCATACCAAGCGCGATCCGGTCGCGTGCTGGAAGAGGGACTCGACGCGCGATCCAGAAGGCTTAGGACCGCTCGAGAATGCGACCCAAACAGGGCCCGCCGACTTTTCGTTCCTTACGAAATACTACCACCTCTTCGAATATTTATGATAACCTTAGGACGCGTTTCAAACGCGATTAGTCTGCGGGGAATTATAAATCATGGACAGGGCCGCATTCGGACAGCTGTTTAAGAATTTTTAAATGTTTAAATGTTCAAATTTCTAAATCTGAATTCCCACATTGTCAAATTCCTAAAATGACAAATTTATGAATCTTTAAACCTCTAAACTCTCAGAATTTAATTTCATGAATTAGGAAAATACTAAATTACTAAAAATCCAAATTCTTAGATTTCTAAATTTCTGAGTCCCTAAATCTCTAAATTAATATATCCTCCAATCCACAAAGTCTAAAATCTCTGTATTCCTATATTCTTTATACATAAATTCCTAAAACCAATTCCAACATATCTATATCCCTAATCCTCAAATTTCTAAATTTGTAAATTAATGAAAAAATAAATTTATAAATAAATCTTCACAAAGCCAAAAATCTCTATATCTCTATATCCTTTACATATAAATTCCTAAATCTAGCAATTCCAACATACCTATATCCCTAATCCTTAAATCACTAAATCCATAAATTTCCAATTTCTCAAGTAACCAAATCAAATCTTGAAATTAACAAATACCAAAATTTTCAAATACTTAAATTCTTAAATTTCTAAATCTCTAAATACCTAAGTCTGCAGAATCAAAAATTCCTAACTCTCAAATTTTTTAATCCACAGATTCCTGAATTGCCAAATATCAAAATACCAATTGACCAGCACAATAAAGAAGTATTGAAATATCTCTAACGCGCAGGAGAATAACAGCACGGTACCGGCCCTGATCCTGAGCAGCAGTCTCCTTTCATATCGCCAAATCCTCGAGCCAAAAGCGATATTTATGCTAGCGAGCGTCTTCTATTGGCACAGAATAGATGTGATCCTTGTTGCGAAATAAATAATTCAATGTGTACTGAAAAAAAGAAAGAGTGAACGTAAATTATTCAAAATAGGCGATTGCGAAAAGAAAAAGAAAGAAGTGGGACGAGATCTGATAAATTACGAATACTTGGCGCATCCCTCGAAGGACGAGCACAAAAGAGATGTAATTTGCAACAGGTTTCGTTCGTGGAAAAACGTTGGCCATCGTGAGCGAAACAGTACTCGTTCGGTTGGTTGGATTATACGTACATCCAGCAATATTATGGACTTTTTTGTCTTAACATATAACTTTTTTTCTCTTGTCGCCAAGTTCCCATTTCTCTCCCGCTGTACCGGTGCATTAAAAAGAAACGTGTAATTGCACTTCTCTGCGCTATAACCGGATGCCTGATAGTTACCCTAATTCTTGGCAAATTGTGATATCCAGGGACGAAATTGAAGTAATTAATATGTACGAAGCCTCGTTTCATTTGTTCCAATTGTTCTACGTATGCTTTTCAAATGCAGAATTAGCTTTGTAGTACATCATATTGCGGTTACAACATACTTTCAGCTTCTACATATTCTATGATAAAGGATGTTTCGAAATTATCATTATTTCTACATCTTCGTATCGCGTACTAAATATGAACTAGTATCAGGGACCTTTTTAGATAGGTGTAGATACACTTATTCAAAGTTGGAATTTAGAGCAACTCGGAATTTAGAGACATTTAAGATCTCTTCATAAAGATGGACATAAAGATACTCGAAATGTAGAAGAATCTTGTAATATGAGGATCCAGATCTGAAGATCTAGTAACGTGTTACAGAGATCGTCCAATTTAGAAATTGTACAAATAAGTTCAAGAATTTCCCACTCTACCATATCGGCAATATAACGAGAGTCTACTGTAATACGAGTTATAATCCTCCTATATGTCTATGTGTCTAATGACGCCGTTGCTTTACGATTCTACCATGACATATACGCTCGTAGTACATATGTAGAACCGAAGACGAGTAAAAGAAATAATCAGCCTTGCGTTATCTATAAATAGTTTGTGTGCGTTTATGCGAGTTTGCAACGAGTACCGAGAGGTCAGCGTGAAAGGGAGAATCCAGGCTACAGGTGCATTTCCCGGCGAGTGTGAATTGACTCGAAAAACATTGTGCTTCTGTCCAACTGGTTTTTCTGTTTGATTGACCTGCAAATCGTTATGCGTGTCAATTGCAACTTTCTTTCAGCTAGCGTCCTCGCGTTTCAGAACGACTTTAAAAAATTAAACGTTGGATTGAAATCGTCTACAGTGAAATTTCAGCAGAAGAGTCTTGAAGAACTTGAAGTTTCGAGGTAGCAAAAATCTTCGTTTTGTATTAAGATTTCAGTCTTGGAATAAGATTAAACATTTCAGCTGTCTGTTTTCTGCAATATAAAATTAATATTTATTCAAGTCTTTCTACTGATAATGTTTTATTTGAAATATAATCTAATTAAAATTTTATAAATCTTTGTATTAAGAATCTTGAAGTACCTTTTCATGCCTGAGATTCAGTGAACAATTTGAGATTTGAAATATTTTTTTGTACAAATTAAGATGATAACCATCTATAGAGTATTGTTTTGAGATATTTGTAATTCTGAGGAAGTTCCCAAAATACCATCTTGAAAATAGTATTACCAGGTTTGAGTAAGTTCATTATTTTAAGCAACTGGAGTTCTTGATACACTTTCTCGGAATAACTTTCATTTTCGAATAGATTTATCAGAATCAGTGATCGACTATTTTGAGTGCATAATCGAGAATATCGGTTGCAGAATCTTGGAGTGAATTTATTAAACACCTACTTAATACGACAACTTGTTTGTTGATATCTACGTAATCTTGTGTCGACAATTTAAGTCAGCGGATGCTAATGATTTAATAGCAAGCAATATTTTATCGAAGATGCAACTATCTCGAATCAACTAGTCGACAGGTGATTAAATATACAACAAACTGAAAGGATTTCGTGTAATTAATCTCGACGAATAAATATACACGATAAAATCACTGGATGATCGTTGAACAAGCAATTACGAAAGATTAAAGCATCAACAAGATGAAAAAAAATAATTAAAGTTATTAAACGATACCGATCAAGCTGATTGAGATTCAACGAACGGCATCGCATAATTGATGTTAAATAACGTGCACCGATCATACGCATCTGAATGGACTCATCCCGCTTAAATTTACATCGGTGAAGTCAATTCTATACACGACAAAAGAAATAATTAAACATGGCATGTAGACGTACGTGACGGCGCTATGTTTGCTAGAAGACTATGAACAAACCTACGAGTTTTCTAATAAAGTAGTACAATTATGTTATATAACGCTACAACCTGATGTTTTGCCGCGATTTCAGAGAAACGATCTTATTAGTGTATCGACTTGTATGTCTTTTTAAGGCGCGATCGTTACAGAGTGTTTCAAAGTTGAACGATCAAAACAAATTTCAAATTTTAAGCTTTCGGAAATTTGGAGATTCAAGGATGCGGTTTGAAAAATTAAAAATTAATCCTTTTGAGCAACTCGAGAAATTAAGAATTTTTTAAATTCGCATTTTTAGAAATTTGAGAATTAGAAAATTTGGAAATATAAAAGGTTCAGAAGGTTTATAAATTGAAAGATTTGAAAATCGGCAGTGGTGAAACTTTTGGAACACCCTGTATATATAATTTTTTCTCCGAGTTATCTCGCTTCGTCGATGGTTCTGATGGCCATTTCTTGCGTTCACCGCCCTGTCAATTAGTCGCAGATACCAAGCTTCCTTTTTTCTTTCATAAAAACTCCGACTCCCATTCCTGTTTTCACTTTCTCATGACTTACATAGCCGTCGATGGGATTCTATTCAGAGAAGAGGCCGAGGGTTGAACAGTTCTTCAAACACGCCATCATTCGCAATGAGACCTATTAAACTTCCCATAGTCTAAACTACACTTTCTAATCTAATCAGCATGAGCTCTCCTAGACAATCTGTACAATCTATGCAATTAAACGCTGCGAACTTCGTCTAGACAAACATCAGCTTCATAACTACTGTTGTCAATTGTATAAGACTCTGAAATATAACATAACTGTTCTTAAAAAATATTTTTAGTTTCACTCAAGATTTAAACTGTTATTATTAATACACATTAGTATATATTAGTAATGTTCAAACATTTAAACTTTCAAATGTATAAATTTTAAAATAAAAAAATTTTTTAATTTATTTAAAAATAAATTTAAATTTAAAAAAATTTTAATTTTTCATGTTTTGAATGTTCATTAAAATATCGGGACGAATTAATGAAACATTCATGAAGCATTTTCTCTGCGCAACATTCCGTTTAAAAATCGCAGGAATGATTAAAAGTACATCAACCTGATACGGGTGTTGTGTTGCATAGATTCGTATGAACCACGCCTTCTCCAAGCGCGTGATTCTGCGACCCACGTGGACATAGTACATTCTCTTGGAACGCTCACGTTTTACAGTTACCGTGCATACTACGGAAACTAACAATTTCTAATAGCGCCGTTGCTTCCTCGAAGTAAGGTATCCTTCGAGTGATACGAGTAGGGGATAGGTTGGTTGTCCATCTTTTACCGAAGCAAATATCCCTAAAATGTTTAAAAATGGTAGAACAGCATAATGAAACAGCAATATAATATCTTAGTTGTATAATAATAAAAGTAGTAGAATAATAAAACAAGTAATAGTATAATAAAACATGTGACTCTAGTTAGTCTTTAATTTCAATACACTAATTACAATAATTAATAAGATTCTCTTAAAACAATTGACAATTTTGAGTTTGACAATTCATAACCTTAACGAAGGAACAGCCTACATATATTAGACACCTGGTCCCTTTCAACGTGCTACTTACATTATCAATAAAACGATAGTATTATCCAAAATGATATTTTTGTAGCGTATCTTTTCTGTCATTCGATTACACCTAATCTACATTATGAGTCATGGATAACAACCATAGAGTAGAACGCGTCAAAGTAAAATATAAAGTCGAAGGAAACGCAGGTGATAAAAAAATGGTAGTGAAACGTCAGTGCGTCGGCGCCCATGGATGGCTACCCCCTTTTAGCTACTCCCATCGCCGTTGGAGGCCGAGAGCAGAGCTCGAGAGCGAACTCGAAGGCTATTTATAGTAGGGAGCGGCTTCTAGTTCCCACCGCGTGAAAAATCGCGACTGGTTTCCTGCGAGCCAGAGAGAAGGAAAGAAGAGAGTGAATACGAAAGAAGAGAAGGGAAGCGGCTGCCTTTGGAGGGAGGTAAACGAAAGAAGAGAAGAATTAGTCGCTCAGCGGAGAGACAGAGCGAATGAAAAACCGAGAATCACCGACTCTATACTTGTCTTGATTCTCTTATCCATTCGCATCGTTTATTGCGTTTACCCCGAAAGGTTTGAAAGCCCTGGAAGGCCGCTGTCCTTGCAAGGGCGTTATCGTGAACTATGTATACCCGCCGGGGGGACAAGAAAGCTACCGTTCATATCCCCCCTGCGGAATTTCAGCGCAGAAATACGAGCGGCCAAGCTCGTTATTGGCGGGAAACTGAGTGTCGCGTCGTTCGATGTACCAACACCATTTTCAACTACCAACATAACATTTCTTTCGTATGAATATTATTTCGAATGGACAGATAATTTCTAACTCGATTAAATTTTACAGAATCACGGTAGAAGACAAAGGTAGAAGATAAAATAAATTATAATCTAGGAATTTAGGGATTTTCAGATTTAGGAATTTAGTGATATTGGAATTTGACGATATTGACATCTAAGAATATCAGTATCTATGGATGCTGGGGTATCGAGGTTAGTAATCTGAGGATATAAGGACAAAGGAATCTGGAATTATAAAAATAACATTCAGATATAACGCATGTACATGTTTTGCTTTTGCAGTATAGATAAATATTCTATGTGATTTGTCAGTCGTTTCCTCATTCGACTGACTTCATAAATGTTTGAGTTATTGTTACACGACGATCCGTAATATGTAATAAGATAAATGTTTGTACAAGAATGGAAACCACTTAGAAAAAAAAAACATTTTTCATTATGTAACCTTTCTAGCAATACGATACCCGTCATAATTGTGATTGAAGTATTAAAAATGAGAATATAAGAACACAATGTTTATTAACCTATAACTTGAATCCTTAGTTACCGGCAGTACTGTAAGGTTATAGTTACTATTGTCTAATAAAATTATCTACTTAAACATTGAGATAAACAATTACTATGTACCATGATAAACTTTCATTTTATACAAAGATATTTTTAGAAGCTCAAGATATTCAACGTTTAAACGGTGTTTTAACCCGACACGACAACTATAACATCGACAGTTCAGAACACTTGTGATGTCTTTCAATGAATAATATTGGGAGACGACAGATGGCTTTTATGAAATTGATTTCCTTATTAACATGTCTCTGCGCCAGGAAACACATCACTGCTCTGCATGCAATGCACAGGCTGAATTGACTTTTTGCATTACACGTTGTGGAACATTGGTTAGCGCTATATTCGCGAAGGGGATATTAAAAATGAGAATTTATCTTAACCATAAGGAACAAGATCTTCGACTTAGTGTTCAAACAATTAAAGTATGTTTTACCGCCGTTTATATCGTATCTCACACTTGAGTAATATATCAGTTTAAATGGTATAAAAGATTGTAAAGTTACGAGTAAATTTGTTAACTAATTTGGTAAAAATTTATATCCTTAGTGGAAATATTTTCCCGCGCCCAATTTGTATCACGCGCATGCGCATCGCCAACTGCAGTGAGCAGACGCTCGCGCATCGTTCACATGCCAGTGACCCAAATTATTAGGGAGAAATGCTCAATGATAAATCTACTAATTTCACACTGAATTTCCTGAAATATTATCTCCTGGCACGCTGAACGTCCGAGCACGTGTTTCTATGATTAAAGACCGAGACAATGATCGTTTGTAGAAGAGTTTTAGTAGACGTTGACTGGCGTCGACTGTCTGCCGGCCGGCCGAATGTGCAAGATAATCGATAAAGCTAAACGAACTGAAGATGAAGATTTCACGACAGGTGAAACGATCTTTCATCTTTATCGTGCACGAAATGTATGTCAACCTTTTATACCTGTCTGTTTCTGTCATGGAATTGTAGATTTCTTGATAATTCACTGGCAGTTCGAGGGGTTCACGTCGTGCAGTAAAACGTCAAACACACACATGCACTCTCCCATACACGAACGAGAAGAAGGATAGGTCGAAGACCCTCCAATACTGAATGCTTTCTGAAGCCATCGGAAGATGGCAGTTCACTCAATTTATGAATTATCGAACACTTGACAATTTATAATATACCCTATATAAGTAGGATGCTCTTTGAACTTTACATTTTATGCTAGTACCATTATAATGGCGGTCAGCTACTGGAGTCTATGTACATAGCAAATATTTCTTTATTTTAATTATTTCGAACGTCTTACTTTAAACATTAATTTGAAAGGTTGTCAAATCTTTCAAATTTTGTGTAACTATTTAGTTGTATCATGTATTTGCACCGCGTGCAGATATTCATTGTGTTCCTATGAATATCATAAATTACTCAATAAAAGCGAGTGATGCGTTTCATCCACTGCACTTTGATGTTATGCATTACACTTGCACTTGACCTCTCGACGAGTTCCATGCTTATACATACATAGTTGATCATTGATTCATACGGATAACATCGCTTGATATCATTCAGAGGAATACATATGAAACATTGTTCGTCGTTTTAACCGAGCAAAGATCAAGATAGTAAAATTACTCTTTATTCATAAAAATATTTTTTAACTTCAGCAAAGATTTATGTCAACGTATGTTAAAAGTTAAAGGTGGCAGTAACTTTATACTTAGAGCATCTTAGTTTACATTTTATTGCGTCTTTTTATTACAGGTAGTGCTATACTGCCATCCTTCAAAAACCCATTTTATTCAATGTTTGAATAACTTTAGAAGATATCAGAAGCAGTAATTTGAAAATTCATAGCAAAAACATATAACTTTTGCATGAGTTTATAACATATTTTTAGCTTCATGTTTTGAAATGTGTAATATTACACGGTTGGGTGTGAAAGTGGTAAAGCGCAAGACCGACTCTCAAAGAACGTTTTAAATGCGTCTCGTGCCGGCCCTGATCTTATGGCATTGCATACAAAATAGGACTATGTTCAGCATTAAATACACGATTCTAATGTAAACCACATACGTGAACTCATTTACAATCCTAATCAGGGTACGGTAATAATGTTCATACACCGTTTCTTGTGAGATCGAAATATCTGTTTATCATAAATAAACAAGAATGTAATCGCATGTTTATGATTTTACACCACGTATCTGAAAGCATACGATTATTTTAATCCAAAAGTAGTCATACGAAATATGAAAATAATTTGAAATACTTTTTTTGTGCTTTTACAAAATTTACTTTTTTTAGATATATAGTATAGGATAAAGATATTGATTTGTATTATTTACTTTGTGTAACATGTGCATTGCTTTGTATTACATGTGTATGTAACCATTACTCTTGCAGTAAAAAGATGAAAAATTATTTTCTAGACGAATGTACTATTGTTTGGAGGCAAACGTCGATACTTTTAAGTCGCATTGCACTTGCAGAACACGTGTTCTTCCTTTCTTTCGTTTAGGTTAGCGTGTTTGGTTATCATCGCGTCGATTTATAAATGTTAATTCGTAATGTAGAACTCTGCTGACTCTACTCGAAACGATTGGCATTGACCGGTGACAAACGCGTAATCGCTTCGCATTAACAGTATATCTTCTGCATGAGACTACAGTCCAGTTGTACGACAACATTATAAAAGAATTGTAACAAATGCGTTGTATAAGAACAAGATTAACTCTTCAATTGGTTAAATGTTGTCACATATAAGTTTTTTGTTTATGATATCAACTGTTGAACTTTCAGTTAAACACCTTTCTCCAATATCGAAGTTAACAATATTACCGGTAAGTAAACATTTGATAGTGATAATTTATCTGCGAGGTTTAACTAGCCTGCGAACAGGAAAATACTGTAGATAATTATGTGAATAATTCAAAAACTAAATCAGTCTCATATTTGCTAAACTATGTAAATGTAAATAAACAATTAACTATAACAACAACAATTATTGATTATTAATGAAATCCCTATATATAGAACAAATGAGCGCACGTGTTTACATTATTACTTTTATTTATACCGTTACAGCTTATCTTTTCCTTTTAAACTTTCATTGTAATGATACAGTTACAAAGCATTGCTATTTTATCATACATAATATCGTATAACATTATACAGATGTCGTGTTCAGATAACAGTATGACCAATAATTATACCAATTTCTAAGAAAATTACTGTATACAGTCATTTATCAATGTCCTTTCCTATAAAAATCCATAAATTGAATTGTATGTCAAGGACTATTCAGTAAATGAAAATGTATTTCTTTAAAACGATAATTCAACCAAGTACATGCTGCTGATGTGCATAACCGAAAACATTGATATGCGATAGAACGATGTTAAGCATGTACCAAACCTTACCTAGATTGTTACTCCTATGGAATTTAATTGTCCCCGTTGTACAGTCATCGATCATATATTCTGTAAGTATTGATTATTATACACGTTATTTCACTTCGAACAGCGCACAATATAAAATCTTTCTTGCAATAAAAATTCGGTTGTCACATTGTCTAAACACTTCGAATGTAGCACCTAGAAACATACACGTACGTATTTCAAATAATATATGATACCGGAAATAATAGCACAGTATACGATAGAATATAATCTCACTATATGGCCTTTTGCACGAGTCTCCCCTCACATAGATTTCCACACTACAGTGACGCTTCGTTAAATGTAAATTTTCAAATTGAAAAGTTTAAAAATCGTCAAATATTCTTTAAATATTTATAGCATTCAATTTTTGTTAAAGTATCAAATAATTCTGAAATTGCAAAATCACGATTAGTACACAGCTCACTATAATCCATACTTCGTAGAATTTTTTGTGCATTTATGTAGGTTCACTACGATATGCTCCTGTTTGAGAGGTCGTACGCGCTTAACTGACAATGAAATGAGGCTTTGTAATTTCCAGGTCGTATGCACCTATGTATCTATAGTTGGTATGAAACGCATACTATCAAGGACATGTCAAACATAGTCTATTTGTAATTTTGTATAATACGTATTGCTACTCACCGTATACAAATTGTGGGTTTCAAATGTCGTGCATATCAATGCGATGTTTCATGAGTATGCCGCTATAAACTGTCGATAACTGATACCGTTTTTTATGAGCCTTAACTGATCAATAGAACAATTTTACTTTTTCAGACACAAACATTTATGTGTACATTTTGCTTTAAGTAATGGCATACAATTCAATCTTAAATTAAACAAATGTATTGTGTAAGGGTTAAGGTGGTTGATGTAGTTAGTGACTGAATTGAGGAAAGTAATATGATATTTGATACCTTAATAAGAAGCGATGCATTGTAAAATTTACATAGTACTCTGTTACTTTTTTTTATCCTATATTTGATAATATAGATGTATATTTGTTGACATTTCTTGTTGTTCCATTCTAAAGTTTGAGAAATTCAAATTAAGGGTTGCGCAGGTAGCGATCTCTGCCGAAGATCAACGAAATGGTTCCGGGTGAGCTATCGATTCTTGCCGAAGATTTCCGGAAATAACCGAGGTCGTGAAAGTGACGTATGTACGTCAGTAGTGTGGGCCGACCCGCGTATCGTCGGTACAGTTCTACAATTTTTTGCACTTGATTTCTCGCGAAAAGATTACTAACTTCGCGATACACGATCATGAATTTCCTTTAGTACAGTTGTAGGAGGACTCGCGAACAAGGGAAACGACTCGTTATCGTATGTTCGTGTAACTGGCGTGAGACAAATTTCAGCTCTCATACGTGTGCGTTAGGGCCCCGATCAATCTTCAAGTTCACGACCCCACGCTTATTCGATTAATTGAGTTTATCCGTAACAGAATTCACGCTAAATTGATAGTGTTTCGACAATTCTTCTTTTGTGAGGTACATCACGAGTCATCGGAGTTGGGATCGATTACCGTGACCTAACCTTGAAATCGCAAATCTTTTCCCCCAACTTTCCAAAGAATTTTCCGGAAAGGATTACAGTTTTCTTTCTTTACAGATTTAGTTCGGTGGTCACCTACGGGTGAATAGAGATGGCCATCCTTCCTCCAGGTAAGGAACTGTTTCTTTGTTCCCAATGAAACTGACATCCATGTACCAATTCTTCTGTCATGTTGACAGTAATTTTCTATAGAAGTAACCAGAAATCGTTGATGATTTTTTGTTTGACAAATATTATCAAATAAATAATAAGTTGTTTCACAATAACTGTAACTTTCATTCAGAAAAAATCATTTAAAGGAATATTATGGAAATAGAAGGGAAAGATGTATTCCTCCTTTCAGGTGTGGATCCCTGGATAATTCAACCCAGGGAACGTGCAAGATATCAAGAACAATTTGACTCATTAAAGCCGATTAATGGTGTTGTCACTGGAGAACAAGCAAAAGAATTTTTACTCAAGTCCCAGCTTAGGCCAGCCGTTCTTGGAGAAATATGGTATTTATCTTTTTCTTTTGTATTATTTTAGTAGTATTTGTGTCATCATATATTTATAATGTATTTCTTTTGATACAGGGCTTTATCAGATACAGACGCAGATGGCAAAATGGATATAAATGAATTTAGTATTGCATGTAAATTAATTAATTTGAAGTTACGTGGCTTTGAAATTCCAAAAACATTACCAATTAGTCTAGTGCAAAGTTTACAGATGCTTTCTGCTGGTCAGTATCAAATGGCTACTTCTATTTTATGAAACAACCATAATTCATATCTTGTAACTCTATGTATAGATGATGCTAAGGCGACAAATTTAACGAATGGGGCTGCCAATATTCCACCACAAAATAATGTTGCTTCCTTAGTGAATTTAACTGGTTTGCCACAAGTTCCAGTACAACCAGTACAGCCAGTACAACCTTTAATTGGTGGAGTACCTATGGCTGGATCTGTTCCACGTCCTCTTATAGGACCTCCACCTTCAAATGGACCATTGCCAGGGCATGTGATTAGACCTGCCTCACCCATGAATTTACCAGGTAATTATATTATAGATTTAGTGCTTAGTATATCTGAAACATATAAGTAGGTACATATTATGAAAAGGACATACTTTCATAGGAATCATCAAAATCTTACACTAATGTTAAGAGTGTTATATATTATAACAAATATAACGGTTTTATAGTTAAATTTACAGCTGGTGCATTTTATAATAACTAAATATTGCACTATCAAGACTGAATCAAAAAATTTTTTGTCACTGACAATATCTACATCAACTATTATCATTGCTCATTAAACAACATTTTAATTAACAAGTAGCATTATTTAGCGTTACTTTATTTATGCATCATACTACACAGCATCACGACAAAATAGACAGAATGTGGCTGCCACTACACATGCCACAACTCACACAGCGTCAAAGCCACCTGCTCGACCTGCACCACCCTCTGTGGGTATGTTATACGACGTGGATGTTCGTGTATGAATGGTTATATTTCGGTTTCCTTCTATTCAATTTCTTCATTCCGGCTTATTAAAATATTATTCTACTTTAAAATACATTTTTTTTATATTGAATGACATAATCAGCTATTCTAATATCATGTTATAATATGCTATTTTTAACATTTTGAATGCAAATTCATTTTCGCATGAGAACTATTGCTATATTTTAACTACTTATTTGTTGTATTATACTTAATCTAACTGATGAAAAAGAAATGATAAATAGTTACAATATTCTCAAGAACAAAATAAAAATTACAATGTAATAGGACATTCATAATTTTAATGGAACGTATAAAACAACAAGTATATTTTAAGCTATTATTTTTTTTATATGATATTTCTTTGTATAAAATATTTATAATTGTATAAATGTTTGCATTATTATAGGTTTGTCTACTCTGTGTTTTTGTCTACATGTACAATTTTATGTCACAACAAGGAAGATCTATTAAAAATACAATTTTATTAATAGTATAAGTTTACTATTTTAAATAAGTATACTGAATGGAAAATATGTAACTTTATATAATCAGTATTTCAGTGGCTTTGTTTTATAATTACACATGTACATTTTACTTTAGTACTTTTTCTTCTACATATTTATGTTTACACCAATACAACTTTTTATACAATAATATAATATTTGTGCCGCAAAAAAAGGAATCGTGCCTTCTACAAGTACTGCTACTACCACTACTTCTAGTGGTGGTCCTCCTCAAAGACCTGCACCACCCACAAATATTGGTATGTTTCAAAGTGCAAGAGAAACTTGGAAAATAGATACCATCCCCTAAGAGTACAATAGATAATACCGCATGTAAATTTAGATAGTATTTTCTCATATTTTAGAATCCAATTTTGAAATAAAGAAATGATTCCTTTTTGTATTACATCAATACAAAAGGTACATTATTTCCACTGTATCACATACCATACATTTGTGTGTAATTTTTAATTAATTTTGCATTTATTGTAACATTCTCCACCAATTGTAGCTTTCATATATGTTGTTTCTTCTTTTTCAATTGTTACTTTTACTTTGCTAATGTATATTTTATTTATAGCCTATTTTTTTTTAGCTTCATTGAATAACTGGAACAATATCATTTCAGGAGCAAATTTTTCACCTGTTACGAGCATCCCACCACCAAAACCAGCACCTCCATCATTTCCTAATAGCCCTGTTGCGGCTGGGATTTCACCACTGAAAGCTCCACCTGCTACTGCTGTTGCTCCGCCAGTTCAACCTATACAATCAATGACTACATCTGCCATAGGTAAAACGATAATTTATTGTTCTTATTTTCTTTTCTTTTTTCTCATTATTTATTTACATTTTTATTCAGTATCATATATCTGTATTAAAAAATTTGTTCAGTTGTGATTGATATTCTATTCTTTCTTTGCAGATTTACTTGACTTTGAGTTGTCAGGTATATCATAACAATGAATTTGTAGAAAATATAATTTTATTGTTTTGTATATAGTTTTAACTAATATGTAATAAGATTTGAATATTTTTTCTGATTTTATTATGATTAATTCTTTTAATGTAAAATTTAATTTATGTAACATTTATTATTTTTCGTAACATTAATAAGTATGTGTAATATGTAGCAGAAATAATTGTTGATTTAACAGAATATTAATCGAGTTATTTTCCATTGATTTGTGTAGGTAACATAAGTATTAAACTTACTAATTTGAGACTCTCACAATAACAGCATTCTTAGCTGATTAAAGGAAACCAATTTATGTAATCAGTTTATAATTTTAATAAGAACCTTTCCTTTTTCAAACAGGTATGCCTACGGTAGCACCAATTGCACCTTTAAATACAAATCCAGCCCCAGTAGCCGCTTTCGGTATGGGACAAGCAATGCCGATGCAACCATTATGTACTGGCATGGTTGCACCTATTACAGCTGGTTCTAATATGATTCCATCTGTTGCATTAATGTCTACTGGTATACATATACATATTTCAACATAAATTATGCTAAGTCTAACTCAAATTTGATATTAATTGTATATTATTTTAGAAACTGGTGTCGTATCAACACCTCCAGTTGTAGGTTTACCTTTAGTATCGGCGACCACAGCAAATAGTGCATTAGTAAATGGTGTAATCGCTCAAACTCCGGTATCCACTAGTACTCCGTTAAGTACAACTGCACGTCCACCAAGCATAGATAGGGTGGGCTCGGTTGATTCGCAACATAGTCAGCATTCAGTAGGCTCTCCACAGTCTGTAGAATGGGCTGTACCTCATCAAACAAAGTTAAAATATACTCAGTTGTTCAACACGTGGGACCGGACCCGATCTGGATATTTGTCTGGTCCTCAAGCAAGAAATATTATGGTGCAATCGCAGTTACCAAAGAAAGTGCTGGCAGAAATATGGTACAATAATATAACAATATATTTTAGAAAATAACTGTTAAAAGAATATTTCTTAGCATTTCTATAGAATGTAATTGCATTATTAGGGCGTTAGCAGATATGGATTCAGATGGTCGTCTGAGTTGCGATGAATTCGTGTTAGCCATGCATTTGTGTGATTTAGTTAAGGTTGGCGAAAAAATACCCGCTACACTTCCAATAGAACTTATTCCACCTGCATTCAGACGCCAACGACAAAGTAGTTTAACGCTTTCACAAGGTGGAACAGAAAATGTAGATCCATCAGCTGGTATGCCACAAGTAAGTTCCTTCATTTTAAGATTTTGACTTAAAGATGACATTTCATACAATACGATTGTTTTATTTTTTAAGACCTCATTTGAGGACAAACGTAAAGAAAACTTTGAAAAAGGTCAAGCTGAGTTAGAACGCAGGCGTAAAGCACTGCTAGAAATTCAACGAAAGGAACAAGAAGAACGTGAACGGAAGGAGAGAGAAGAAGCAGAGAAACAAGAAAAAATTAGGTAATTAAATCTAGTTTCGCGTTAAAATTATTTTTGTTAATAAAAAAAAATTATGCAGACTGGAGCAAGAAAGACGTAGACAAGCAGAAATTGAGAAACAAATGCAGAGGCAAAAAGAAATTGAACAAGAAAAGGAAGAACAACGAAAACGAGCTCAGGAACAGAGAGAAGCGGCACGAAAGCAAGTGAAATTTTTTATAAACTTTTGTAGTTCTGAGTTACAAGATCATAAACAATTGTAATGATACAAATTCATTGTCTTCTACAGAGAAATGGAAAGGCAACGGCAGTTAGAATGGGAAAGACAAAAATCACAAGAGCTTCAAACTCAGAGGCAAAAAGAGCAAGATGTATTACTTAAGTTGAAAGGGAGGAATCAAATTTTAACTATTGAGCTTGGAACACTTGTAAGTATTAAACAAATGATAATTAAAACGATTGGTTTTTATAGAATACGCATTTGTACAGAACGATAAAGTAAAAGAACTGTCACAAAAAATTTGTGACACTCGAGTGGGTGTTACTGGTGTAAAAACAACAATTGATGGTATGCGATCAACTCGGGATGCACAATTGCAAGAAATGGCTGCCTTAAAGAATAAACTTCGAGAACAAAACCAAAGATTATTAGCTTTGAGCCAAGAAAAAGCTCGCATTGAAGCTAAGAACAAATTAAATATGGCTATGGAATCAGCGGGTCAAGAAGCTATCAAAATGGCATTTGACAATAAGCAAATTACTCTCAAACAAATGAAAGATAAAATTGCTGATTTACAAGAACAGGTATACATGAACGTACCAAGATTTGTATAAGTATATTGTGAATAGAATAACCTTTACTATAATTTTCTTCTATAGATTAACGCAAAAATGGCTGATATAGAGAATAACAACGGTCAGCTTCAAGATATCAAAACACAGTTGACAAATTTAGTATCTGACTGCAAGAATCTCTACGTTACTTTCGAAGATAAGAAATTAAAGGTCTTAGAACTTAGAGCTAGCGGTGGTATTGGAACTGGCACTGATTACACAACTTCTGCGTGGGGTGATAGTGCATGGAATGATACTACAGAACCAGTCGATGACAATGCTTGGCCTGTTACTGATACTACTACAACGAATGCAGTGGAAGAAACTACCCCTGGAGTTATGAAATATAGAGCTCTGTATGAATTTGTAGCTAGAAATCAAGACGAAATATCATTTCAACCCGGTGATATTATCTTGGTAATATTATAAACGTATATAAAGTACAAGAAATTCACGGAAACAAAAAATACAAAATTATATTTCAAATAGGTACCTCCTGTTCAAAATACGGAACCAGGTTGGATGGCAGGAGAAATAAGGGGTCATACCGGTTGGTTCCCTGAATCTTACGTAGAACCAGTAGATGCTGGAAGTACAAATGACAGCGCCTTTATACAGCAAGATAGCGTAGAAAAGAGGACTTTAGAGTTAGTCAAATAAACCAAAACTTTGATCAATAATTACTGGAAGAACATACCATTTATTTTTATTTTTATTCATTATAGAGGAATTGCGGAAGTCCCCGAGAATGTATCTGATGCAGGTTCATTAGGTGGTGAACCTCCCATTGTTGAACCTATTATACCTACCCTTGGATTAGGCGTAGCCTGTGATGTACAGGCAACAGCTTTGTTTCAGTATCGCCCTACGACGGAGCAGCATCTTCCATTTGAAAAGGGCGATCTTATTAAAGTTATTGAACAGCAAGTTAGTGTAAAAATGTTATGATATTTAATGTGCTTTATATGTGCTTTACATTTTATAATTCATTGTCTAGGGCGATTGGTGGTACGGTACATCTAACGCTGGAACTGGTTGGTTCCCTAAATCATATGTGAAAGAAATTTCTGTTAGTCAGCCTGCAGTAGTCGATGGTCTCAACGAATATTACATGGCGTTATATCCATATGCTTCGACCGAGCCCGGTGATCTTAATTTCAATCAAGGAGAGATTATATTAGTTACTAAGAAAGAGGGCGATTGGTGGACTGGTACTATAGATGACAGAGTTGGAGTATTTCCCGCAAATTATGTAGAAAAATGTGATGCCCCAAGTCAGGTAAATTGATAGCTGTCTCATACCTTTTTGTAATTGTGTTCTAATGACATTCGGTACAGTGGAGTTTCGTTACATGGTCCTGAACGGGACCTTTTATAAAACTCTTAGCGGGTCTTATAACGAAACTATACTGTATTCGTTTGATGTGAGTGAAGTTTTATGTATGTAACGTTAATTAGGGTGCCTCTATAACCACTAACGTGTCTGAGACAATTACGGATACTACGGTAACAACAGATACAACCACGAGTATTTGTGACACAAGTGCTTCAGTTGCCCAGGCAACATTGGTTTGTAATATTCTAATCCTAATATTTTCAATTTGTAGTCGTGTACATAAAAATAATATTTATCTTATATTGTAAATAGAAGTAACTTGTTTTAAGATGTATAGTAAATTTAACTTTGCGAGTATCAAGTTAGTAGATTGTAAAATATATAGTAAGCTAGACGCATATGTATCATACGTTTAGCAAACAGAAAAGACCGCTGAACAGCTTGAAGATGAAAGAGCAGCTGCAGAAGATAGAGCAGAATTGCCAGATTTTACAGCAATGGCTGCGCAGCAGGTAATATTATATTTGCTCTCGCTGTATGCATAACCTTAGAATATATGTACAGTACTGTTTGATGAAATTTAATTGCTCCCCATTTGATTTTTATCGCTGGCATCCTGTTACCGCAGTATTACAAGGTACTTTCCCTTTTATAAAATGTAACTGCTAACTAGTTTCTTCCATAATTTACCTTTAACATTTGATCTTACAGTTTTGTAAATAACAATTTACATTTCAATGTTTGTAGTGTAGTTGAATACGGAAAAATGTAGTGCTTTTTTATTAACATGTTCTTTTTTTATTATAGCGAGGAAGGAAACCTGAAATTGTACAAGTTATCGCACCTTACCAAGCTACGAGTTCTGAACAGTTAGATTTACAAAAGGGACAGTTAATAATGATACGCAAGAAAACAGATAATGGTTGGTGGGAAGGAGAATTACAGGTATAATTGTTAATTATGATTCATGTTGATTTCAATATGATGCACTTATTGTGCTTAATCTTTACAATTATCATGTTATATTTAATTTTTTTAGGCACGTGGTAAAAAGAGACAAATTGGCTGGTTCCCAGCATCTTATGTTAAACCTTTAACTAGTGGTAGCAATAGAAGTACACCTGTTTCTCATGGATATCAAGACTCCCCTACAGATCCAAATGTTGGTAAGTAGCTTTCAAGCGCTGTATAATTAGATATGTTTCAAATATATCAAATATGAGATGAAACAACACAATTTATTTTATAGAGCGTGTTATGGCATTATATCCGTATCAAGCACAAAATGAAGACGAATTAAGCTTTGAAAAAGGTGACGTTATAACCGTGCTTGCAAAACAGGAAGCGGCATGGTGGAAAGGCGAATTAAATGGAGTCTCTGGAGTTTTCCCCAGTAATTATGTATCTCCTATGTGTAAGTATTTCTTCTTTTCCATAGTTTCACAATTCATTTACAAAATTTATCAAACATCTTGCTCACAAATGTTCATTTAGAACAATTACAAAGAAATTGTATAACAAACTGATATATAAAAGTCAATTGAAATAATATGAAACATGATCGTTATGTAATTTCAACTTTTTAAATACGGATAGACGGACGACCGTCAGGTTTATTTTTCACCAGTAATCATAATATGTAAAGCAGTGTTATAACAGTATCAATTTCCATAGTGTTGGTAATATAATAACTTAATGCGACGGTCGTTTAATAAGATCAGATACTTAACAATTTCTTATGCATCAGGATTTATTATCAAATATATATTTTTGCAATATATACATATGTATGTAAATAGACATATTTTTAAATATGTTGTGTGATTCACTACAAACATATATATACACATATTTATAATATTTGTCTTAAAATAATATTGCACATTTATTTACAACTGAAATTAGCTATACAGGCATAAGTAGGATTTATTAAATACGTGTCATCACATTAAACTGTCAATTGCTGTTAGATACAAACATCAACTATTTACAATATATAAATAGTGTACTTAAATTGGAAACTATTATTATATGTATTATTATTTATGTCAGACGTTGCGTGTGCTTTCTGCTCTGATATGCCTGCATTAAAATCCGCACTTTGGCTTGGAAAGCGGTATATCTGTAATTTCAGATAATCGTTATTTCATTTCTGGTTTGTCTATAACAGATAGATTTCCAAATAAATCATTAGAGGAGTATACTTTCTCCATTATACAGCCTGCCTGTCTGCCTGCATGCCTGCCTGTCCGTCCGTCTATCCGTTTGAGGTAGCTGTTTCGTTTCAGTAAACTATTTGCAAGATTTATTACATGTATGATACAAAATATGAAATATTCAATAAGCATATTGTAGTTAAATTTTTAGCTATCTGTGTTTAAACATATACATACATAAATAATTGATATCATATTTCAATATTAAGATTATATAAGTTACAATTTCTATAATAAACAATTGTTCGCTTTTAGTTTAATTTGCTTCATTTAACTGTTCTTAGTATAACTTTATAAGTTATCTGTACAAAATTATACGTTGTAGTTTTTAAATTGATGTTGCAAATCGAAATAGCTACTTCGAGCAATTTAAACGTCTGTTATTTACCTACAACACTTGAAATTAGTCAAATCTTTTTACTAATTATTATCTTTCGCCTATGCTTAACATGCAGCATAAAGGATAGCAGAGCAGCACCGCAGCATTGCAGGCTAAAATAAAAGCATCTCAAGTGCAATAAATATGATAGCAGTCTCTACATCGAATACGACGTGTTACAACCAACAAGTCTCATTGGTGGAGACAATGAGCATAAAAATGAAAACAAAAAGAAAAAAGAGAAAGACTCAGGGCTGGTTCTTCGTTTCGATATTATTCTGAATTGTGCAAGTCTTTTTCTTCTGGTTCGGGATCCTACTCGTTCCTTTGTTTTAATTGCTGTTCAAATTGTTACCATGCGTCTTATTGACTATTATTCCCCAAGTTATTGAACCTCTGTGTACGATTTCAACCCGAATATTATTGCGCAGTATATTACAAACATATGTTTACACAGGAGCGCTAAGTTGTGTCATGAATATAATTACAACCACCTGACATGTGCACCAAATTCTACCTCAATCTTCTACTTTGATTTAAGATAGAGCTTAAAAAATCGAAGGATACAATTTTTTTATCTACTTGTAATAATATTTACTACCACCAGTATTTAGTATTTAAAATATAAATTAAAACCAAATATGTATTTATTTAAGACATTTTATTGATAGGAAGAATGAATTATAGTTTTTGTTTATACTAGCACTTTCAGCCCGGACTTTTATTTTTTACGCATACAGAGAAAAATTATCAGAGAAATGTTAAAAAAAAAACTGTTATATTTGAGAACATAGTTGTAGTAGAGCTGAAGCATTTCTTGCTAGGGGCAAAGACAATAAACACAAAACTACGTATCTCTAAAACATTCATACTATTCTATGTATTTAAAGTCATCTAAACAGCTTTGTGTGTAAATACAAAATACAAAAAATAAACCAACTTTATAGTAAGTATAATTATGTGTAAAAATCCTTATCATCGGGCTTAAAGTGTTAGATTAATAAATAGATATACAAGCACTAATAATAGTCCTAAATTTTTATAATCAGTGTCTTCGAGAAAAATTTTTGAACAAATTTAGGTGCTGCCTTTTCCATTTTGTTTGTAGATTCTTTTTTATTAAATACTGTAGTATATCATTTGGTGCGCAATACAGATGGTTTGTACAGTTATACTGCGCCAAGGCCTAGGGAAATGTTTCACAGCAATTTAAATGGGCAATCGAATATCATTTTTCTGCTTGCCTTCAATGTAAAGGGAGAAGGAGTTGTTAAATCACCTATTGAATTTTTCAATTAGATTTTTTTCTTTACCATAAAAACGGGTAAAGAATCTGTTATGACATATAAAAAAAATATTTACTTAGTCTTGAAATTATTAATAATTATACATTTTACTTTTTATTTAGATTCAAAATTTTATATTCTTAAAAAAAAAACTGAGAGATTATGCATAATATTTGCAAGGAGAATTAAAATATTGCTCTCTTTAAAATACAAACATGTTTAACCAAATCTGTTGTTCCTATTTATTTATTCTATATACATATATATATATACATATATAGTTATTATTTGTTTTATTTTTTTTATCTGTCTAGTAGTGATGGAAGATGATGTGCTCCTTCTTCGCAGCCTTTTATTATAGAGCCTAAATCATCATTAAAATATCAATCATTAATAATAAAAAAAAAAATCATAAAGTTATAGATAGATATTATTATCACTGGTGGGAAGAATTTGTTAATTAATGTTATATGGAAACCAGTTTTTCCATCAATTAATTCCTGAATACCAGTTTACTTTATTTAAAAATAGGATATATAAATATTGTAAACATATGTAACATTTAATGGCTGATTTATTTTTATCCTTGTTATTTATATTTATTATCTTAATATAATTTTAAAGAATCTCAACTGAGTATAAGATATTTGACTACTATATTGTTATTATAACAGTCATGTGTGAAACGATTTACTGTTTTTCTATTAAATTTTGTTTTGTGAATGAATTTGTAAAATATTCTCTATTTTTCTAATGTTTTTCATACATTTTGTGAACTAGTGCTAAATATTTATTTTGATCAAATAATTAAATCTATCGCTTGTATTTATTGTCCATTCCATTGAATAATTCAGGAACTTGATGGAATAACTAGTTTCAAATATTTGCAAGAACCAAGCGCACAGGAGATCAGCATATTTATACACTGGTTGATCCTTTTACACGTTCTATATAACTCTTTGCAAGCAAGGTGTATAAATATGTCTGATTGTAACAATAAATATTGTGTGCTTAATATTAAGTATTCTAGATGCGCCCATAATCTTGTAATCTTTATCTAAACATGTTGACAACGTGTAAAGCAAGTTATGCAACTGGTTATTCTTAGATGAGATACTTGTGTAGAGTGCTATATCCTTAAGATTGTTACTATTTGCAAAAATATCCATATTGTTTGTTTGTTGTAATGTCGGAATCTCATTATGAATCTCGATTGTGTGTGATGTACTTTGAGCGAAGGACACTATAAGGGTGTGAACAAGTTCAGACTATTATGTATTTATTACGGATTTTTGTTCACACTTTTATGTGAATATACTCTAAATTTCTCACATGCATATACACGCCGTTCTTATACATATGTACACATATCCATACATAATATACAGAGGTGTTCTCAAAACTGCTGATTAAAATAAAGTATCTGTCTGTTGTAAACTATTGTTGTGTATAACAATTTTGTATCTTTTAGTGTAACCCAACGACCAAAGTAAATATCTAAGTATTATTTTCAAAAACAATTTAATTTTCACCTTATTGTGTTTCACTCCTGGCAATTCACTGTAATTAAAGATTAGTTCCTTAGTCTATTTTAAACAAAAATAAATTCTAAGTAAATTAAAAGATATTTATTATACAATAAAGATAATATATATCTGAAGGATAATGAGAATGAAGTAGAAAAAATTTCTTGTGTACATTTTATGTGTAGCTAATGAGATGACAACTGAATTGTTAATGGCTGGATTGGATACCATGGAAAAAAAACGGCAAGAATACATCAAAGAACTTATCACAACAGAGCAAGCATATATAGAAGATATGAGACTTGTTCATGAGGTATTGGCAAATCTTTCAAAGCAAGTTTCCTATATTTTGTACTTAAATTTATATTTGATAAATGAAATATATCCTTGTAGGTATTTGAGAAACCTCTCCTTGAAAGTTTAGTTTTAACTGTAGATGAAGTGGACAAGATATTTGTTAACTGGAGGGATATTATTGCCTGCAATGACAATTTTTTAAGGTATAATATTAGTATATATTATGTACAAAAAATGTATTGCTAGTAATGTTAATCATGATTATTCATCAGTGGATACTTTTCAGAACATTACGAATACGACGAGATAACAGTGAAGGAGGAATAGTTAGAATGATTGGAGATATTTTGTGTGAAAACGTAAACAAATATTTTTATCATATCTTTAATGTTATACTGTAGTTTTGTATACATTTTTCTTTTATGTTTCAGATACCTAGAATGTCAGCTTACATTAGATTTTGCAGTTGTCAGATATCAGCTGCTGTTTATCTCCAACGATTGACCGAAACTGTACCAGAATTTGTCAAAGTAGCGCACACTTGTCAACAGGATCCACGTACGAAAGGAATGCCTTTAAGTTCATTTTTAATAAAACCAATGCAAAGGATAACAAAATATCCCCTTATTATTGGCAAAGTACTTGTCCTTTTTGCATCATTTATTTTGTTTTATATCTGTTATTATTTTATCATCAAAATTGCTTCAGATTCTAGAGCACACTCCTGCTGATCATCCTGACAGACAGTATCTTCAAGAAGCTCTGGCTAAAGCAGAAGAATTTTGTACCCAGGTACAACTTCTATTATACTTCTCATTACTAAATATACATTTTATAACATTGATCTAAATTTGATTTACTCTTCACTGTAGGTAAATGAAGGAGTTAGAGAGAAAGAAAATAGTGATAGATTAGAATGGTTACAAACACATGTGGCTTGTGATGGACTTGAGGAACCACTTATTTTTAATTCTTTAACTAATTCTTTAGGTCCAAGAAAGCTTCTTCACTTCGGTATACTTCATAAGGTACAGAATTTCACTTATTAAAACTATTCATTTGACATAATAGCTTGTATACTAATTTAGGCAAAGAGTGGAAAGGAACTTGTTGGATTCCTCACAAATGACTTCTTATTATTTGCTCAACCAACAATTACTAAGAAGTCTTTATCTAGTGGGCAACAATTCTCGTTTGAGCGAAATGAACATCAGAAGTTTAAAATGTATAGAAAGGTATCTGATAACATGTTAGTACTCATATTAAAATACAAGTATATTAACTTAATTGCTTTTTGCAGCCAATCGTCTTAAATGAATTATCCTTCTTAGGAGATTCAGATACAAATGGAACTCTTAACTTAAGTTGGGGAGAGGGTACTGAAAATTCATCTAGGTTACTTAGACTGAGGGATCAAAAGAAGCCTATAATATTAATGGCCCCGTCTCCAAGTGAATGTTCACTGTGGACCAGAAGACTTACAGAGGCAAGAAAGAAATTTATAGAAAACGAGAAAACACGTTTACAAAGACAACGATCAAGTAAGCCATATTTCCATTCTTTCTCATTTATTAATGTTCGTTTAAGTGTCATTTTTCCAGTGTAGTTTGTCTTTATGATATTATTATCTACAATTAAGTATAATAAATTTGACATACAATAACATATAATGTGTGTGAGTAAACAGAGCAGGCGCAATTTGGAGCGTGTGGCAGAATTCTCGTTACAGTGCTTGAAGGTTTCAATTTAAAGACAATACCTGGTAAGCGAATGTGTGCGCTTTAAATGCTTGTTTTTTTTGCATGTGTTTTCAGTTTGCTTATGTTTGCTTGCTTTTCTGTATGCGCTTAAAACAGGAACTAGGACAATCTTATCTATAAAGAGGAACAAAATCGTCGATGATCATAGAAATTACAAAGTTATTAACACAATTATGCTATCTCATTGCACGATGCATTTTTACTAACAAAAATCTGGCATGATTATAGTTCGCAGGAGACCACCTCAGGGTAGGCTTCAATTAGTAGTTGTGGAAGCTGAAGATATTATGATAAAGAAAGGTAAAATTTTCTTATTGAATGCAAGTTCTTCATAAGTTGATGAAATCCTTTTTTCTGCGAACTTGGAAGTATTTCAATACTGATATATTGTAAATTATAATATTAACGCGATCTGCGTTGTCAATCTCAAAGTATTAATACTTCAAAATTTAGCACAAAGACAGATAAGTACATAAGCACAAAATTTGACTTGTTTTTATTTTTATTTAGTTTTTTATTATTTGTTCTTTTTTTGCATGCACCTCTTATGTAGTTGTAACATTTAAAAGCAGTGTATTTTTTAAATAGTTATGTTTTTAGATGACTGTAGTATTTAACACATTAATACAGTAATACTATTATATATTGGCTTGGATTATAACAATGCTTTGCAGCTGCAATTTACAAATGCAACCCATATGATTTTTAACAATATACACACTAAACCTTTTCCATATAATTAGAGAGTTACAAATTGAAGAAAGTCTTTTTAACAGGCAAGTGCAACACGTTTTGTAAAGTGAGCATGGGATCCCAAGAAGAGAGAACAGGTGTGGTATCAGGAACAGATTGTCCTATGTGGGATACATCAATGCAGTTCCAAGTAAAGGATTTACTTGAAGATACCTTGTGCATTACAGTGTTTGACAAAGGCTATTATAGTCCAGATGGTAAATTAATTATCTTGTTTTAAGTACAATTATAAAGTAGATTAGAAATTTTACAAATACTATTTATAGAATTCCTTGGTCGAGCGGAGATTAGAGTTGCTGATATAATGAGAGATAGTAGAGACTCGTGTGGACCAATTCAAAAACGTATTCGATTGCACGAGGTTGAAAGAGGCATCGTTGTCTTGAAATTGGATCTTAGACTGTTTGGCAATCGGTAGAAAGACTGAATTATTTAAGTACGTGATTACAGTATACAGCTACACTTATTACTGCCAATACAATTTTATTGTTTCTAATTGTACAATCATATTTCAATCTAATTAACTAGATTTATTCATTACATACCATTAATAGGGGGCACAAAGCGACCATTTTTTGATACGAGGGTATTTATTATACACTATGAAACCTGTAAGGATAGATATTACTTGATACGCTTTCTTTTTAAATTACATGGGACTGGTATCCAGTGTAATTCTGGAAATTAATTTATAAGAGAAATATTATTTTAATTTCCAAATCGTACGCATACAAAAATCCATTGAATCATTTAAATTCTTGTCAAAGTACAGTATTATTGTTATTGTTATGATATTTATAGTATATAAGTAAAAAGCATTTATTTTTTTATATAAAAATATGTACAAAATATGTTAGGTGGGCATTAGCATAAATAAAAGGGCATAAAATAAATAATTTAAAAACGATTTATTACATAAAATACTTAAAACATAATTGTAATTATCAACAACAAAAATAGTTTTAAGTACGTTAATGAATCTAAAGCGAAATAAATAATGTATACATTTTTCATGCTGACTGATGCGTGAAGATACTTAGAATATCTAATATGAACAAGATACAAATCTACATATACAATACATGAACATTTATAATGTATAGGTGAAATTTTATAAATTACTTTATGTAGCCTATCAATAAAATACATAAATTAATATAAATATAACAATTGTTTAATACACTGAATATTTTTAGGCATTTAAGAGGATTACATGCAAAGTTGTGCAAATACAATTATAAAAAAAAATTCCTACAAAATATTGTGTTACAAGACTGTTATCAAATTTCTTTTGAGATTTACTTTAAAATACTTGCACCTCGTTGCATTTAATCCTTCGCTTGAAGCTCAACGATTCAGAATCATTAAGAATAATGTAGATGTTCAGACTTATGTTTACCCTTTGGGGACGATACATTCCTAAAGACACCATGCACACATACTTGATTTTTGTTTAATATAAGTTAAATAATATTTTTTCTTCAATCTATGCAATGTAAAATATGATTTTCATTCACATCAAAGTTATAAACAGGTATGAAATAGGTATTATAACAAGTTATGCATCTTCTAAGATCATTATTTTTCAGAAATTTATAAAGAATGTTTTAAACAAAAGTTAGTCGTCCTTAGATCCAAATGCTGACAAACTGCTGTTTAAAACATTTCATTGGCAGATTATTGTAAATACAAATGGTTAATCCCAGAGAATACACTCTGTATACATTTATCGACCTCAAAGGGTTATTTATTGCCTCTCCCAACGAAGACAATAGATCATCCCAATCACCAATGTACGAATTCTCTAAATATTTAGTTCTTACTTGGAAGAACGCTCCACCTAGCATTATTTCAGTACAAAAAATCTGACTTCAATCAGATCTAGCTTGATGCGTCTTCAAAAGAATAATGCCAAGAAGAACGTAAGAACAGTCAACAAAATATTCAAAGCTAAGCTTATCATCTTCGTTCAACGTATTCTCTACATAACAAAAGTCCATCAAACCGTCGAATTAGCAGATTGTGAATCAGACGTGGATACTTCCGAATTAGCATCGCTGGACTCTCGACGTTCCGGCTGGTCCTCATCTTGCGTTGGAAACTCGTAAATGGGTTTGAATCCACCGAACAGCTGCGGTTTAAAGTTCTCTGCATCGAACTCATTCTTTTCAGTCTGAGACTCCTCCGTGTCCGAGGGATTTTCCATTGAGTCGCGGTCCTCGTCGGACTTCCTGTTCACGACAGGTTCTACCATGACGACGCTCCAGCCGTTCTTCGAAGGCGCTTCAGCGCTCACGCTTGCAACGAATGGCGCCATGAAGTTCTGCGGGGATGGCGCTGAACTGGAGGAACTGGACGGTTGCTGAGAGGGTAACAGAACTGGCTTTTGATCATTTCTATCGGTCTTCGAATTATCTTTGTCGTCCCGTACGTCCACATCCAGTCGATGAGACGCTTGCGCCGTCGGTGTGTAAACAAATGCGATCGGCGTGGATGTCGGCGTAGATGGAAGTCGATAAAGAGTCGCCGATATGGGCTCGTTCTTCCTTGCTGGAAAAGGTACAAAGTCTTGTAAATAAGGTATAACGTTCACGCTAGAATCCTTTTCGTCCTTCTCATCACTGCTTTCCTTCACAGACTCCTCTCGTCGCTGGTCACTGGGTACCAGCAGTGGCGTTTCTCTCATTCCTGTAACGAGAACCGAAGGATCTGGACGTTCCAGGGGATACGGGAAGTCCGACGCAACGGGTCGACTGCTGAATACATTCTGAACAACTGGACCTTGCTCTTCATCCATCTCCTGCTCCTCGTTGTCCTGGAGAAGCGTTTCCGGTGGCAGAGGTCGATGAGGACCTCTCGTTCCGACTACCACGCTTTCATCCTTTTCCCTGGAGTCGTCAGGATGGATGTTCACGGCAGTATTCACGGGGTATACCACATAAACGGGTGCCTCGGCTATAGGTTCATTTTCGTCGAACTTCCTCTTGTCCGCGTTCTGTTCAGTCACTATTCTATCAGACTCGTCGTCGGTACCTGCAGACTCTGTAACGTCTTCCTCGAATTCTCCATGATGTTGAATCATCTGAAGAGTCGCCACGTGATCCGCTGTTCTCCGCTTAGGAAATAACGGTGGTCTTGGAGGTACCTGGGGCGGCTCCTCCGAATATCGTTCTAACCTCTCCTCCTCTTCCAGGCGTAGTTTCTGACTGGACAATCGTTGCGCCAGCTTTACATCATCCTCTCCTCTGGAGGTGGCTGGTATCGGCGGAGGTCGAAACCTTTTGACTGGCTCCGTGTCTCGAAGAGGCATCACGTTCTCCGTTTTCGTGGAGGCTGCACCTGCAAGTCGGAGCGCGTGAATTGGTGGTGGTGGAGGATTTAGCCTTTGAAGATAGGATGGCGGTGGAGGTAGGGGTCTTCTGGTTGGAGGATGAGATTGCACAGGTTGCCTGATTCTTGTAGAGTAAGTTTGACCAGCAGGAATGGTGCCAATGGTTTCTGAGCCCCGATGGCCGTGAGACGTTTTAGCGTTAGGCCGAAACTGTGGCAGAATATTTGGCAAATTAGAATCTGGAGAGTAAGGACGTCTTCTTATCCCTGCAGGGTCTGTAGGAGGAGGAAGAGGTGGAGGGAAAGCAGGTGATGGCTTTCCACGAGGAGGTACCGGTGGCCTCTGAGGTCTAAGGTGATCAGGTCTTGTTATACCACCATGATGGTAGTGGTAATGAAATTGCGAAGGTGGTCTTGGTCGCTCCGTCGGTGGAGTTAAGTCTTCAGACAATTGTGGAAGATGTTCTTCATTAGGAACAGGTGGATTCACTCTCATAGGTTTCATCGTTGAAGAGGAAGGAGCGATCTCGTGCACAGTGCCATCAGCTTCGTTCACAATGACGATGTGCTCCTCTACTGGCTGTTTGGGTTCATCTTTAGGGAACACGACGAAGTTAACATCCTTATCGTCCTTCTTATCATCCATCTGGTCAAGAAGCACGGTGCCCTTCACGAACGAACCTTGAGGCCTGGAAGGTTCTATTTCGTTAGCTATCTTCTGCGTGGCAGAGGGATTCGGTTGTCGCCAGGTCTGGGCAGCATAACTGGGGTTTTCCGGAGCAGGCACCAAAGGCAGACCAAAGGTACCTCGATGATCCGTTTGTGGGTCGTAATTGCCCTTATCGGACTGGACACCATAGAGCGGTCGAAACGAGGTATCGATTCCTGCACTGTATGGATTCTCTCCGATAGCTGTGCCTACCGAATAATATCCACCTTCGACGTTCTGTCGATTGCCGAGGACGAAGGACACCGTGTCCTGGTCAGGTGGTATTACGATGTTGCTCGTACTTTCTACCAGAATCCCTCCTAATCCGCTTGGTCTTTGACCGATCATATTTGGTCGATAATTTTGATTAACGATGACGTTGTCCGCGACACCTTGCCTTCGGCTATCGTTTTCAAAAGCAGATGGCAATCGGTGATCATTATCCAAGGGCATGGACGTCACTGGACGTTGCGGCAGACTTTGGAATGGTACCGAGTTACTTTGATGAGCGTCCTCGTGAAGCATCGACGAAAAGTGCATATTGGGTGACAATGACGTTGTTGTGCTTGCAACAGTTGTCGTGGAGCTAGGAGTTTCCGGGGTCCCAGCAGTCGTCGCAGTCACGTTTGCCACAGTTGACGTCGTCGCAGGTAAGGTACTGGTCTTGACAATCTCATTGGTCGAGTCTTTCGAAACATAATCCTCTCCATCGTTCATTTCATAATCTTCGTAACTATCTATGTACTCTTCATGATTCGTAGGAGGATCGCGGTTGTGCATTATGTTATTCGCTCCCTGGTGATTGTTATTGTACATGGATGCTTGGAGCTTCTCTATCGGAAGAATATCATCGTACTCGTCCAGGTGATCCATGAATCGCTTGGGTGTGGTGCTTGAAGGTTTCCATGTGGTTACAGGAGGTGTCTTCGTGGTGGTGGACGTAGTACTCGGTGGAGGAGTGGTCGTGGTAGTCGTAGTCGTAGTCGTACTTGTAGTTGGTTTAGGAGTTGTAGTAGTGGTGGTAGTAGTAGTAGTAGTACTAGTAGACGTGGTTGTACTGCTCATCGTTGTCGTAGAACTTGTTTTAGGCACATACGGTTTTCTCGTATGGTAATAAGCCACAGTTTCTCCATGATAGGGTTTATGGTTATAAGTACTGTAGCTGTTCGAACCACTTTGGACCTTCGTGTTCGCGTAGGAGCTCGATATCAACGGGTACTTGTCCTTGCCATACTTATCGGACGAATAATGAACAGGCAGGTTGAGGAAGTCGTGAAAATTAGGCGAGTAAGGATTGATTTCGTTGGGGCTAACATCTACACTCTCCTTGTTCTCCACTTTCTTCTGAGTGTTTTCTTTTAAGGGTTCTTTATCCCCTTGCTCTTCGCTGTTGGCGTGTTCCTGGTAACGACTGCTATAATTCAAGGCTTTCACAGGTGGCGCCTTCTCAAAGTCGATTTTCCCACTGATAGGATCCTTCTCCAGAGAGAACGGTCTGCCACCGTTGAAGGCGAAAGGATAAGGAAGATGGTATCGTGGCGCTTCCTCGTCGGTGGACGTCGACGGTAAAACAGTGCTCTCTTCAGCGTCGAGATCCAGGTCAAGGTCATCCAGCTGCGCCGTCCTTGCCAAAGTCGGAGAAGATTCCATCTCTTCCAGCAGGGACTTTGGAGCATTGTTGTCCATGTGGCCGCCCATCAAGTACTCTGAAGATACACCTGCTATGCAGGCTAGAGCCATCAGCAAGATCCATGGACTCGACTGCATCTTGCTTGACATATCTGAAATTATATTTTATATTATAAAGTAATTTATACAAGACATTATAATGAAATTGTTTTATACTCTAAGTGAAATATATTATTTTATTGTTTATGAACAAGTGAAACTTTCATTTGTCTTAAGTACCTATACCCTTTTCTTTTTGAAATAAAATGATCAGTGAGCTTTTTAAAGACATATGAATTGACATATGAATGTGTCGAAATATTGATTTTTCTAGAAACGATAATCATGTATAAAGTCGTTTTATACATTTAGCTAAAATGAAGAAAAACCTCTTGAAGCCTCAAAGGTGGTCTAGTCATATAACAAGATTCCACTGTATTATTAAGAAAAAAAATGTTGCAGTTACATAGTTGTACCGCTATATTCAATTATGAAAGTTTCTTCCTGAGCTAAAAGTGTATGGAGTGATAAAGTAAACTGCCGGAAAAGAATTTTGTTCTTCGTGTCCTACATTTAATATATCTGGACCTGGTTTCAAGCTTATATGCGGGATACACGTATGGCTTATGAAACGCCCACCGGAATTGTATTGTACTATCGAAGTTACTGTAAACGCGTCAGCACGCCTCTTGCATCACTGTTGTCGAATATGAATATAAATTAATTAACTGTCACTACACGAGTGATCAATTTGGAATACTCAATTTAAATTGTTTCATGCCATTGTTTGTGATGTTTAGATATACTGGCATATTTAGCTTTCTTGGGTTAGCAGAACTTAAGAAATTAATATTATTCTAAATTACCATTGGTAGATATTACTGTTAATTTTAATATTGTAGTAAGTGCTGGTGTTACTGCAAATTATTATTCTTGTACCAAGTGTTATTGTAGATAATACTAAATTTCTAAATACTAACTATCCATAATGTGTTATTAATATTTACAGTATGAATATTGTTTGCAGCACCACTAGTAAAATAAATCATTTACAATAATATTAATTTCTTAAGTTTCCCCAACCTAAGAAATATGATTCAAAATTAAAAGTAGACCAGCTAGTAATAGCAATTAACGGATCCCTGGAATCATCTTCACAATGAAATGATAAACAGGGACAAGTTGCTACATCTTTCATCGAGCGGAATCGCGTTCCAACGCCTAACGGGTTCCTCATTCTCTCCCTCTTTTCCTCTCGTTCTCTCCACGCTCTCTTGTTCCTCTGTGCTTCTTCCGTGACATTCCAGCAACTTTTGTCGAGGCTGTGCCACAATCTCGGTCGCTGTATTTGGCATTAGCATTTCGTTACTCGCACTTTCGTGAGAGCTTTCCTTGTCACAGACCGAACACCGTGCGAACCGGTGTTTTGTTACTGAAGAACATTTCCGGGAATGCTTCATCATATATAACTCTTCGTTTCTACAGAAATCTTTACAAATTGAGACGTTTATTACAAACATACATCGTTCTGAAGTTTCAAATTTATAGCTCCATTGTTGTTGCTTCTTGTGCGTGTGATTGTACTCACTAATTACAGCACTTAACTAAAATTATTAGATATCCTCGCGTGAACAACATACACCGTTAAATGACCGCTCACGATACTGCGTTAGTTATCTATGTTTAAATATTACCTAATAAAAGTCGTGTACATTTATCTCCTTTACTATGACCTGTAAATATGTAATAAAAATAAATACTTGACAACATACTCAATAAGGTATAAAATCTTGTGTTAACTTTACCATGACCTGTAAATATATAATAAAAATAAATATTCGACAACATACTCAATAAGGTATAAAATCTTGTGAATTAACTTTGTGAGTAGTGTATCGCAGATATGGGTACTTGTATCATAGCGGTCAACGGGAGCACACTTTCATTGAATAAGTCCTCTCAGCCTTCGGTTAGTTCAGGGACCCATGAAATCGTCCAAGGACCATCATATCGTAATAATATTCGTTCCTAGCCTGTGTTCGTGACCGTGACCGGCTACGGCATTTCCTAACTCGGTGACTGGTACACGAAACAGAAACGTTCTGTGTACTGTTGGTCAGGATGACCCACTTCGACACTCGTTTCGGGGTTTCATCCTCGAGAGCAGTTTCGGCTATAGGCCCGTGAATCATTCGCTTTTCCGTAACCAGCACCACGGAAGCGGACCGTAATGTTCCGTTCCTGGAATTCGTGTACGACCTCTTTTTTTCCATTCTTCGCCTCGTGAATATTCAGACGATAACGGAGCTAACAATCGTTAGATTGTGTGAAGTTTTTGGAGAAAAGTTTCGTACTATCCTCGCAAGAATAAATGACTGTTATAGTAGTTGTAGTTACAGTAGACTGTTAGAGTACAATTATAGGAATTTCTCTTCAGTATGTAATTTGAATAATTATTTTAAGTAGTGTACTTGAAGAACTAATTTTTTAATTTGCCACTTTTCTTCTTTTTAATCCATTTCTATGTCTTGGCTATACAATTATGAGATGTTTATAGAAATGACTAGCAAATCCTTTTGCGGTGATTCAGGAAATCTTAAAAAGCAATTTCATGCCATTTATCTTATGTATAGAAGTATTGGAACTATCTGTAATTCTCAATGACAACAATCACATTCTTCAATCATGATCTTTGACACTTAAATGATTCCACTTCCTTCAAATTATCATAGTGTCTTCACGCCTTATTCTTCATAGATTTCTCCTTTCTTCTTCTCTCATAACTATATATGTAATGCAACTCGTTAGTCGGTTAACAATGAAAACCGTAACTGTATATCAATCAATCTTTTAACAATTTGATTTAACCTAATTAATCTTTTAACAATTTCCCTTAACATTTTACAAGATAACTAATAATATCACTATGAACAGAGTGTCTTACATCTATATAAAAAGTTTCATAAACATCCAAGAAGCCTTTCACATTATTCTTTTTTGTTTAATTAAGTCGCCGATTAATATAAATCAAAACAGGTAAGTTAACCGGTTTCAGATTCAATTTTTGACGCGTTGGAACATGGTTTATGTTTTTTTATAGCGAATGGTCGGAGAGACTTTTAATGCAGCGCAAACTCGGCCTAATTATAACGGTACAATGATTGCAGAATATTCTAATTACCGTCTACGTGAAATTCCTAGGGTAATTGTATCATCTTATTCTCGTTCGCTTTAATAAGCATAGCGCAATAACTATTATTTTAAAACGTTCGTTGAACGCATTTGTACTTCCACTTACGTTATTGCAACGTTTATTTTAGATATTTTAATTATATATATTTTTTATAGTAGTATTTCCTTCAATTTTCATTAATGAAATTACGAATACAATGAAGGTATATATCTTGTATTATAGATTATGTTTGCCAATGAATGGAAGTCTTTTTTTTTTAAATTTGAATGGCTAATTTTGGTTGATGCATCGTGTACGTTTCACATGTTGGGTCACTATCAGGGTCGACGCTAAGGTACTTGGGATCCTCATGCAAAAGTTATGACATCCTACAATTATTATTATTCATCCAAAATGTGCTCATCACCTTTGAACATTGGCCTTAGTTATTATTAACTTTATTCCACCATACAAAGATTAAAATTTGCAGCCATTAAAAACACGTTTCCAAAATATCACTCAAAATTTCAATTTCCTGCAATTCAATGTCATAATAATAATTACAAATAATCAAGTACATAAAGAAGTTAAAAAATTGATAAAGCATAGCAACCTTCCTATAATCACTGCAAAAATGATTTCTTCCTACCATCCTATTTAATCATGTGAAACTTGCAATTATATTATCAATTTCAGTATTAAAATTAATTTCAGTATTCAATATTAAAAAACAATGACCCACGTGGAATACATCAACCTGTGAAATACAAATTACCCTAAAACTTAATTAAGTGCAATGAAAAGTTTACCTGAATGAGATGAAAGAATTAAATATCCTCCGGTCGTCGATAAACGCCTTGGCCTCGACTTGACGGTCACTCACAGCCCCATGTGAGAATTTCAATTATGTACCTCTCGGCTCGTTACTCTCGGTTTGTTTTTCTTTTTCTCACGAGAAGAAGAGAGATCGAATCGCGAGTACGACGAAGGTGATTGAACGTGCGACGAGGCCACGGAAGTTTGTAGCCTTGCCAGAGAATCACTCGTCGACTGAAGAGCTTCGACTTCCAGGTGGTAGAAGGAAAACGACGAGGTGATGGCACGAGGACGAAGAGGTGGAAAGTACAGGGACATGGATGAAATGGTCACAAGAAGCAAGAGGAAAGTACGAGGAATGGGGATACAAGGAAAAGGGAACCGGGAGATTCTCCTGTGACAAATGAAAGTACAACTTCATTGAATTTTAAAGGATCATTTGAGCCACTTTGATAGCTAACTAATTAAGCTACTTTTATACTGAAATAAATTTTCATAAATTGTACTGAACTACTGTACTTATAACATAAAAGTGGAATCTCTATAAGTATTTTTCTCAATTCAGACTCATCTCAGATAAAGTTCTAAAAGACAAAATTTTCAAAGAAAGAATTTTTCATTGGACTCCATTCTGTTATCTTTTAGGACAAATTATTTATTCTTCCACTATTTATACTTATAGAGAAATAAGATTTAGTTCATATGTTCTGAAAAAAATTGTTAAAACTAGCTTAATCCTTTAGCAGTGGAATGACCTTTCAAAGTGTAATCGTGGTAAAGCTGTTGAAAGTTGCATTACTATGAAAATTCAAGCATCAGTAATTTTAAATTGAATGACTCCTTGTTTAATGAACATTATGATCATTGAATGAAACTGAATGTCCAACAAAATGAAGTTTCCTCTTTCTTATGATAGCACTGAAAAACAATGGAACTCTTTAATATTCATGAAACATTAAATAAGCACATAGGTGATATTAAATAATTTTAAATTACTTAAGCATTTTGTGAAATTCCTGTACTTAGCCAAATTGTTTTTCAATTCTTGAGCGTGTTTGTGACATTGACACAACTTACAATATCAACAGATCAGGGACAAACTTTCTAAGATTTTCTCAACGTGTATCGATTAAAAAGATTCCGGGAAACATAGTAGCGGTCGATAGAATCAAGAAAGAAGAGAGGTAAGATGCTTTTCCGTTTCTTGATTGCCAGTGGTGGAGGTAAGAAAGAGAAGGAGTTGGACCTGACTAATGGACAGCACAGAGTCGACGGAACGGTACGTGGAACAGTTAGACGACGACCCACATTGCAGGGAGTCGCTCAGGGCCGGCCAACGTGCCAGTTTCTTCAACCTTACCCTCCGTTCAGACACGCTAAATGCTCTAGGATCATTATAAACTCTTGTAATCATAGATTATATTTTCCACATATCAAATCGTTTCAGCATCTTCCAAATCCTTTTCGTCATCTTATCTATTGTATTTCGCCTTTTTATTCCCAATGTTCTTTCATACTATATTATAAGGTTTACATTAAATCATTAAACACCTTGTTTTTGTATTATCTTTAAATCTTATATTTCTTTTACTTAAAAATTCAAATGCAATTTTATTTTTAACGCATTTACTTAAGATTAATAATCTTATTTCCTAATCTCTCTTATAGAAAGAAGTATTGTATACATGTGTTAATTCATTGTACGAGGTATATGGTTGCATGATTAATCATTTCATTCATCATGAATGCAGTGAAAATGATAGCATTTTGTAACTGTTAACATGAATTTAATATACTATCTATATAACAAAACATGCAAAAACAAATTATAAAAATAGTATTTATTTAGAAATATATCTTATTTCATGTTATAAATTCATAATCTTCAATCTTAGAAAGTACTGAATTGCTTAAGTATATATTATTAGTTATAAAATAACGGCATATTAAAAATTGTACTGCTCTGACAATTATTTCTTCTTCTTCGTCTTATTTACAGTAGACACTGGTGCAGGTAATGGAACCTTCAATGTAACAAGTCTCTTGTCCTCTTTGTTAGGTAAAGCACCAATAATTCTGGCAAGGTGCATTAACTTCTTTTGTCCAACACGATAGCTAAATATTTTTGAGTACAATTCTATATCTAATACAAAATTGCAAATTATCAATGCCAAAATCATGCAATGTATCACTCCTTTATCTTTTGCACTGTTTGGCCTCTGCCTATAAATTATTCTAAATTAGTAACATACAAGTATTTATAATATATGGGTTATTTATTAGTACATACCGTCCACTATTACTTTGAATACTATATGTATCTATTATATGAGTGTTAACAACTGAGGAAGATGGGCAAACAACAATATTACGTTTTTTAGTATCTCTTATTGGCAAATTTAGCCAGGTCATAACTGCTTGCACATAGAGCAATAATGCAGTTTTCTTAACGTTATCTGGATCATATTGTAACTGCCTCAGTATCTGAACAAAGAACTTCGTCTTTCTACATACATAATAAATATTAAAATGACTGATGGCAATACTAAAGAAAAACTAAATTTTGAATAGTAAACATACCCATCAAAATCATTGTCATTATCATTCAAAATTTCTTTAGCTTTAGCATACAAAGTTTCTAATTTGTCTTCTGGTATAATATCATGCACATCGTACACATCTGTTACATTAGTTGCATCTCTGTTACAGGGTGGTAAGGCTGTGTTTATAATGTCATCATTTTCTGCTAAGTCCACAGATAAATCTGCTTTATCAACTTCAACATCTGTAAAAAAATTTAGCCATTATATAAATAATGCTAAACAATTTTTATTCCATTAAAGAAACAAATCTTACTTGACACAGTTTCTTCAAGTTGTTCTTTAACAGTGTCTACATTTATTTTCATTCTTTCATACTGTTCTATTTTCCGTTTCGCTTTCTTTGATCCGAACTGTCTGTTCAACATAACAATCTTATCACTTTCTGCACTTTTATTTTCCTCCGTTGCTGGCTTTTCTAACACTGCATTTACTTGCCAGCGTTCAACTTGAACCAATCTAACTTTTCCGGTTTTTTTGTTGTGAAGTACAAGCATAGTACGCATCAAGTCTTGGCTCGTGTCGGGTTTATAACCTCTATAAACAATTTGCCCATTTGATAAAGCCAATAACGTTTTCTGTTTCTTTGGGTCATAAAATAGACCGCATGACATTTTACTGGCTTCTTCATCCTTAAGCTCACCATTCTGAAAATTCACTGTAAAATAATAACACATGTAAATAATTTAAAAATTGAAATCTATAAATACAGAATATGAACTGACAAGGTTACATTTTCTTGATTTACATACTATAATTGAATTTTTAATAATAACTACAAACTGCAGTATATTATAATTATTGAAATCATTTCAAAGTAAGTAGTTTCAAGGTGTAATTTTGCTATTTTGTTCGAAAAAAGTAAGCATGAGTATCTGGAGTATTAAATAAGTTTTTAATGAATATACCAATGATCGGTTGAACCTTGGATGGGTTTATAATTACATCATCGATAACTGCTTCAATCGGTCGTTTCATTTTTTATAAACAATATCGTTTAACCGTTTTGTTTAAAAAACTACATTCAATGCAACTCAATTTTAAACACTTCTGAAAAATATCAAAGCGCCACCGGAAGTTCTTCGTATTTGATTTACCGGAAATAAGAACATTTTGGTCACATTTCTATTATTCGATATACGGTGTTCTCCATGTAGCAAGATTTGCGCAACTCGACTAACTTCAATAGGCTCCTCCTCGATCCGATGTTTTTCATTTCGTTACTCATATACAGTGTGAACAAAATATATGAACAAGAAAAAGAGCTGAAGATACAGAAAATACAGAAAATATAAGACTACTGGGTATACACGTTTAACGTCGTGAAAGTCACAAACGCGAATGCGCGTTGCTAGTGGCTACAAGGCTTACTAGACCAATTAGGGCTAAAATGCGCAGAATGAATGAAACTTCATTGTCCGATGAGTGTGATTTTCTGAGGAACCAAGTATTGTTACTGGTTCGTGAGTTGTAAACGTATTTTTGAACGCGACTCGAAGTTCTGTTCTAAACTTACTTTATGCCACAATTTTTGTATCAACAATATACGTTGCTTCAGCTTTGAATATATATAACAATTTTATCTTTGAAAAGACTAAAAAAATACAATGCTCATTTTATCCGAATACTCGTATCACTTGTTACACTCCTGACTTGTCATCCATACGAACTTTCGAGAAGTGTGGTGTACACGAATTTTGTTAAACTTCTGAATGATTTGTGTTTAATTATTGTAAGAAAATCGATTCAATGGCCACGGAAGAAACTACAGCCCAAATGGGCAATAATGAAGTAAGAATTTTAATTAAATTTCATTAAAAAAAACAAATTATAACGATGTTTTTATGTTAGACAAATTTTTATATTTTTTACAGATGCCAGTTCCAAAAATAAGACACGACTGGTATCAAACTGAAACTCATGTTATTGTTACGATTCTTGCAAAAAATTCTGAAAAGGTTAAGGTTGCCTATGAAAAAAATACGGTAAATATATTTACTGTTAATACAGCAAACTATATTTTTTTGCTAAGGAATTTATTATTAAACAAAAATAACATTAATTTATGTTTTTATTCAGTTAAGCGTATCTGCCTTGTTACCCTCAGGAAATGAATATACCTTGGAGTTAGATCTAGCTCATCCTATTGTACCAGACCAGTGCTCACACAAAGTAGTTCCATCCAAAATAGAAATCAAACTAAAAAAGCAAGATGGCATTAGATGGAACACTTTAGAAGGGAACCCAGTTGTTCAAAATCCAGTGCAACCTATACCTCGAGGTAAATTAGACCATTCTTTTTGGCCTAATCAAATTTCATATTTCCAACAATGCTTAGAAACATAAGATGAAAAAAGAAATAACTTTTTAGAAATTCTACAAGCTGGCAGTCATCCACCAAAATATCCTAGTTCTAGTAAAAAGTCACGGGACTGGGATAAAGTAGAGAAAGAGATAGAAAAGCAGGAGGCAGAAGAAAAACCAGAAGGAGAAGCTGCTCTTGATGCTATGTTCCAACTGATATATGGTAGTAGTTCAGATGAAGTTAGACGTGCAATGAATAAGTCATTTGTAAGTAAATTGATTGCAAGCAATTCTAATGAAACTCTTATAGAAGTTTGATTCTGATTTTAATGTTGGATTATTTTCAAAAACAGCAAGAGTCTTGCGGTACTGTGTTAAGCACAAATTGGTCGGAAGTTAGCAAAGGTAAAGTTGAAAGAAAGCCACCAGATGGTATGGAGTGGAAACCTTGGAATACATAAGAGATTTAATACAATCGATATTTAAGTTGTTTTTTATTTAACAAACTAATTGTATTTTGTTTTCACTGGGAAATTGTTTCATAATTATTTGTAATACTAAAAATTTGTCTGATATTTTCTATCCTAAGGATACATTTTGTCTATTGTAAAGTTAATTAGTTAAATAATTATCTCTATTTGAGTATTATGTTGTATTTATCTAGTTTATTAAATATATGTATGTATCTTTTGGACAGTTTATAATTCCTTTTCCTTATGTAAAAAATATTAGATGATAAATAAAATTACATTGTACAACAGTAAACTCGTAATACAATTTTGTAAGTGTATATTAATATCTTTTTATTTTCATATGCATTTATTTACAAACTATTTGTATAAAGATCAGCAAAATAATTACAAATCATTGATAATTTATATAATAATTTAATGTTATTTTAATGTACTACTATGTAAATCTTTAACCTGTTAACAATTTAACTATGGTATATAAACCAGCAAAGCATAGCCCTAATACAATGTATGTTTTCTTCACTTCTCCTAAACTCTTTGTATTTGGTTCTTCATTAACTACACTTATTTTTGGTCTACTGTTACTATTGTCATCTATTTTTTCAAGGATTTTAGAAAACAATGTATTCATATCGTTTTCTAATGAATGCAAACTATTTTCAAGCACACTTTCATTTCTTTGTTGTGCTTCAGATATAACATTTCGAATATTTGATATTTTACTATAATTATATGTCATTGAACCAACCAATGATATAATTGCTAATACAGCAGATGCAAGAATAGATAAATATTTATACTTCTGTGCATTCATTGTTTGACTATCATGATACTCTTTAATAGCAGTTGCTAGTAATGTAAAATAATCTTTTTCTTCTTTTTCTAATAAATCAAGCTGTGATATAATCCTTGTTTGATCTTGAAGACTTTTGTTTTCTATTATTGTTAATTGCACATACTTTGGATCATCTCTTTTAGTTTGAATAAGTTCAGAATATACTTCCTTCAATTTATTATTTATTATTGTTGCTTCACGATTAAGACGCCTTCTTTCATCTTGACATTTGAATAACTTATCTTGAGCTGAAATTACTTGTTGTTTGGCCAACTCAACTGTATCTAAACCTGTTAATTGTTGATACCACTGCCACCATTCTATAACTCTCTTTGGTAATGGACTTGGTTCTAATTGCGAAGCATTTAAATTTTGCATTATTGTTATATCCTTATTGATTTGCTGAAACATTATATCAATACTTGTAAATAGTTTAAACAAAATTGGATTTTGTTCCCTTTTTTAATTATAAAAAAAAAAAGAATATAATACCTTTGAAAGTACATCATATTTTGCAGCAAAAGCATTTTGCACATTAACCATTTTTTCTTGTGCTTTCTCTGTGGCTGAATTAAACCTTGTAGTTGCATTATTAAACAACCGCTGTTTATTTATTTCATTAGTTACAACCTTAATTAACGATCTAACTTTCTCTGCCATTATGCACACATATTTTTACAGTAGATAAGAAATTAACGATAAGTAAATCAACGAATTTACTTAAATTTTATTAGAAATTATAAACATATTTATTCATTTTTATATGTTTAATACTTATCACAAAATATAAATCATTTTTCAATACACCTTATTAGTAAGAATCATAGTTATATAAAATACAGAATTATTCATTATTGCATATGTGAAATTTCTAATGTAAAGTTAAGTATGTACACAGTAAATTATTTAAAATACATGTAGTAATAAAAATCAAATATTTAATAAATCTGAAATTTATATTTCAAAAAATCTCTTTTAATATATTACAGATTTATTTTAAATATTCAAAACATATTATAAGATTACGAAAAACATAACATTTTCCCGGTTTGTAAAGAACATTTGTAAAAGGTTATGTCACAAAAGTTAGCTAGGGTATGCGCATGCATCACGAGATCTGACGTCTACCGTACATACCCAGTGATCTTTTATTTAATACACGAACCTACATCATTTGTTTCTTCTATACACATATTTTTGTCCACAGTATATATAACCGATAGAATGAAAACTGAGCCATGGAGCCAGTGTTGGGCAGTCGTGAGATTTTATTTCACGCGAGAGCTTTATGCGCATGCGTCAGCTGACGTCACAGCTTGCTGCCAATGCCGTACCTAGCCGGTACACGCAGTGGTGACTGATGAGGGCACCTTAATAATCCTACATAATTTTTCAAAAATTCTTATAATTGCACTGTAAAATACGAATGTATAGATTGGGTTAGATTACATTAGGCTGGGTTAGGTTAGTTATATATATGAC